GAGGAGAGGTCAGAGGCAGAAGATTGGGAGAAGGGGCTTGGTGCTGTAAGGGGCTACAGAGTTTAGTGGGAAGGGAAGAACCTGTGACGGAGCAGTTCAGACTCTGAGGATGAAGCGGAGGAGGGTGGGTCAAGAGACTGCAGAAGAATCCTGGGAGTCCCCCCTGGTCTCCTAGAACTTGCAGAGTAATGAGAAGAGCAGAACAGAGGCCAGAGGTGCACAGCCACAGTCTGAGACTGCTTGGGAAACATCTGGGAGAGGAGACTTAGAAAGGGTGGAAGGCAGGGACCTTCAGTCCTGGCAACTGCTCCATAGAAGCAAGACCTACGGGGAAGTGTTGCTAAGTTGTATGCTGTTTCCTTGAATAAAGAGCTAACTTCACTGACAATGGAGTCATGCTTCTTTCATGCTGGTCTGCATCTGACTGCAGCCCTGAAAACCAGCCTGTAATATAGGATTCACTTTTAGACTCCAATACCCTCCCAGAGGGCAGACATGGGAACCTTTTGCAGCCTAAGAACCACATTTCCTTTTCGGTCACCTCCAGGGGGCCATGTGCCAGCCTGTGTACTGGATTCTACACTCATTCACACACCCCTCTCTGTCCTCCATCCATTCAAACAAGAGGTGTTCTCAGATTTTGAGGACTCATTCCAGCAAAGTGAGAACACCCAGGATGCAATGGAAAGTCACTGAGGGACCCAGGGAGATTTATGGGGCGGAACTGAAGGGCTCCATTCAGGCCCCTGGCTTGAGGACCCCCATGTCTGCTTTACACACCTTCTTGGGAGTAACTCTCAAGAAGGATGCACACTGTTCATGTAGCACTATTCAGGTGAAAGCAGATGAGCATAAGCTGGGGACAGGATGTGCGCATGTTTTTCAGACCTTCTTTAGCCTGATAGAGTGAGAGAGCTTCTTAAATGTGTTAGCAAAACTCTATAGTGCTGGATTCCCAAAGATGGGAAAGGAATCACCTTCACATCGAAAGGTCTGAAATGGACTCGGTATGGGTGGGGATGCTGAGGTTAGGGATTGTGTGTGGCCCCGCCATCCTCTCCACAGTTTAAACCTGCATGTCTGAATAGGGTTTGTAGTTGATTGCACAAGCCCTAGAGCTGAAACACTGGTTGATATTCAACTGAGTTTTAAACATAGACACACTGAAATTAATGAACATGATTAAGTTAATTTCAATGGATCTATTCTGGGTGTAAAGTTAGTTGAATGCCACTTGTTTAGTTTGATTAATCCATTGTTTTGAACTATTTAAAAAAGTGTTCCTGATTAAATCAGACAGGAGACCCCCCCAAAAAAAATTGAAACCAATTTCATTGCTGTGTTTAAAGTTTTTTAACAGGTCCTTTCAGCTATGGCTGTCCACAGCTAAGGTTGTCCCCTACCAAATCCAAGGGATGGTAAATTTCTAAGGGTTCAGGGAATTGTAGCTTTGTTATAAGTAAACTGCAGTTCTTCTTCTTCTTCTTCTTCTTCTTCTTCTTCTTCTTCTTCTGGGGGGTGGTGCTTTAAATATATGGTGTGGTCACATCTTAATAATTTGGAAAGACCAATTTGGAATAATTTGGAAAGATCTGAACAGACATGTCTGGATTTCTTTAACTTAGTTCCAGCTATAGTAAGTCCAGCTCTGCCCTGCCTTCTTCTGCTTAAAAAGAAAACAAACCATTGGGGAAGTAGAGTTGGTGTATCCCATCTTCAGCTGTGATTCTAACCCACTAGACCAATAGTGCAATGATCAATAGTCCAATAATCACAAGTTTTATTTTATATGTTATTTCGTTTTTTAAAGGAAGAATTCAAACCTAACCTATCACTTCCAAATGGGATAAAAAGGCGTGAATATTGAATGAGCTCCAAGGTGCTTGAAGGATAACACAGCCACTCGTTTAAAAATTCAATTAACCTTATCTTTCTCAAACTTGATTAATAATCCTACAGATAAATCACTTAAAAAAAAAAGCTGTATTATCTTTTGAATATACTCTGAAACTAACAAACCTAATAGTGCAATCCTACACTATCTACTCAGAAGTCCCATTGAGTGCAGTGGAACTTACTCTCAAGTAAGTGAATGTAGGATTGCAGCCTTATTTTATTCCACTTACCCTGGGCAAGTCTAACTCTTCTTTTGCAATGCTTAATTTATGAAATTCAGAGCAAGTGTTTCAACACATTATTCCTGGGGAAATGAAAGCGCAGCCGATACTTGCATAGCAAACCATTGGGTACTCAACTACCCCAGCAAACTCATTCAAAATGCACATCTGCCATGTGAACAAGTCATGAAAATAGTTTGTACACATCCAGTGTAGTGTAAAATCAAAGCCTGAGAACATCTGCAGTCTTTAATTTGCTCTGAAAGGCAAAAGCTGAGCATTTAAACGGGGGTGTTTTTTTTTTAAAAAAAGACATCACAGCCACTAGAACAAGCAAAACATTTTTCCCCCTGCATGCATTCTTCTTTTTTTACTATTCATCTCATTTCTGGTTAGAGAGCCATGACATTCTTGATGCAAATCAGAGTCAGGGATAGATGAGCAACTTGGGAATGGGGAAGACCAAAACTGCATTATGCCTGAGTCAGACCATCAGTCTATCTGTCTCAGTGCTGACTACGTTGTCAGGGTCTCTGGGGAAAATTTCCAGTACAGTGGTGCCTCGCAAGACGAAATTAATTCGTTCCGCAAGTTTTGTCGTCTTGCGATTTTTTTCGTCTTGCGAAGCACGGTGTCAGGAAAGTTTTGGAAAAGCTTCAAAAATCACCAAAGTCTTTAAAAACCTCAAAAAAGGCTACCACACCGCGTTCTATGAGTTGCTCCTCAAAGTCAAGTGGCAACTGTATTAACGGTGTTAAGAAAAAGGAAACAAACTTGCAAGACGTTTCCGTCTTGCAGCTCAAACCCATAGCGAAAATCGTCTTGAGAAGCAGCTCAAAAAACAAAAAACCCTTTCGTCTAGCGAGTTTTTTGTCTTGCGAGGCATTCGTCTTGCGAGGTACCACTGTAGTAGCAGGAGATGCTGGAGACTGAACCTGAGAACTTCTGCATGGAAAGCAGATGCTCTGCTACTGAGCTACGGCCCTTCCTCTGAAGGGGCAGGGACCCCCTTCAACATAGAAAGGAAAGAGGAAGGAGGTTTCTGAGGCTTGCCTTCTGTCTAATTTGTTTTGACACACCATCAAAAGTTGGAGCAGGCAATGCCTTTTACCTGATTCTGGACTCCCAAGTGGGAAATTTGTGTGAGAGACTTGCTTCCATGTCAACCTTTTGGGACCTGGGGACCCAGTGCTTTCCCCACCCCCAGGAGTACTCAAGGGTACACAGTACTGGCACCTTTTCTTTTCTGGAAGAAAAGCACTGTGGGGGCCCATCTGCAAACCAAATAAATTGTTGTGCCCCACCAGCACCAATTACAACACTGCAGCCCATTCTATCAGCTACAGTAGAATGCTTCTTTCAAGCCTAATTTCAGCTAGGTGCGAGGAAGGGGACCATGTGAGTGCTGGGAAAGGCCTCTGTGAGTGCAGATGGATGCCACGCTGATGAGCCCTGGCTCCAAGGCTTCCATTAGCCCCTTGTTTCTGATCCTATGCCCTACTGCAATGGGAATAGCTGTTCTAACCCCTGATCTGCACTGTGGGGTGGAGTGTTAGCTTGTGGCAGACTTGGGTATGTAAGTGAGCTGGGCTAGAAGCAGGCAGAAGCCAGAGAGTGAGAGTTGTGCTTGATTTCTGCTTGAATCCGAGGATGTGGCTATAGAAGCAAGACTGAACCTGGATCTGAACCTGCTGGTATCTCCCTGTGTTCCAACAGGCCCCTTGTGCCCCACCTGGATCATGTTAAGGGAAAACCTGTTAGATTAGACCAATGGTCCAGCTTCCATCACGTTGGCTGAGGCTGGGGGGTAGTTGGCGTACAACAAAATCAGGACTACCGATTCCTCTCCTCTGATCAGGCTGAGTAATCAGATTCAGGCTGAGTAGATTCACATTGGACAGGACTGCGGAAGTGATCTTCTCTGGACCTCTACATCTACAAAGCTGGATGCAACTCCCATCTTCCCTGTTGAATAGCTCTCACCATTGACGAAATTTCTCTTAATGGTTAGTTAATATGATTCCTCATCATTTCACCCATTAGAACTAGTCTGCTCCATCTTCTGCATGACAGATCTTCAGCTATTTGAAGACAGATGTCACATCTCCTATGAATGTTCTCTTCTCCAGCCTAAAACATATCTAGCATCCTGCTTCTCACAGTGGCCAACTGGATTCCTTAGGGCAGCCTATAAGCAAGATTGAAGGCCGCTACTTTTCAATGGTAGCTTTTGTCAGCTGTGTATGTAGAAATTGTCCCTGAAAACTGGGGAGGAGTGGGAGAATCTTTGTGAAGTTTATAAGCGTTGGGATCAACCTTAATAACTTTGGATTGTACCCAACTAAGTTCTATTCAGACCAGTAGTCACATCAATTAATTTCAACAGGTCTGCTCTTTGTAGGGCTAGCACAGGATACAACCCATTACGATGTGACCTGGGACCATTCTTCCTTTTACTTTCTACCCCCCATTTTTTAAAGCCTCTCTCCACTCTGCATCTGTGCAGCTTCCTTGGCCATACCTGGAGTCTCAGTAGAAGAACACAATGATCTAACATTCTCCCATAGGCAATCCAGGAAGGGCAGATGGACAGGGAGCCTGTGGAGATGGCAGAGTGTGAGAGGCTTTTTTTTTTTTTAAGGAAAAAGTATAAAAGAAAAACCCCCATGGCCATATTTAGTTAAGCACCAACCTTCTGCCCCCTGAAAAATTCAACAAAATTATCTGCCCTCCCACCAAAACAAAGCAAGAAGATAGCTGCTGTTTTTGTAGATGGCAAGGAGTTCCATGAAACAATTTGAACAGAACATCTACACAAAACAATAACAAAATAAAGTGACACACCATTTTGCATTAATATTCACAACCATAATGAAACATGGAAACACGCTTGCAAGCAAACCTTTAATTTCTTATACTAAAGTTCATTTCCAAATTAAAAAAAGAAAAGAAATTTTCTGTAGGAACTTCGTTCTTGAAAGCTCTTGGGAGCAAGCCCTCATTTTGGCTCCCGTATTGATTTGTAAACGTTCAAATATAATTGGGCTACATTCATGCTTTCTGATTTATGCATAGGAACAGCAATGGCGAAGGAAAAATAGGCAGACTCTCTCTCTTACCCAGCATAAATAACAGCTTAATTGCAAACGCCACAAGAACTACCTAGCGAATGAAATGAATTTGAGCCACCGTTTTTGTACAGAAAGGCTGTGTGTCATTGATAGCTGCATCTTGCTTTACTGTGCTGAACGTAATTGTTATGTTTATGGAATAAACTTACTTTTGTGGCACAAAGCAATCACATAGGCTCAAGCACTGAAGGGCTGTATCACGGACCAATGACCTAGCTATCTCCCACCCAAACTGCATATTGATCATGAGGGGCATTTGTGGCCTTTATTAAGGAGCTGAATTTTAAAACGTCAGTGCAGTGAGCTACACAGTAGCTGAAATGCTACCTGGGCTTTACACAACCCAATTTAAGCTCTGCTACCTGAGTTTGTCTACCACAGCCTGTCTCTTCTTACAAATATTAACTGTAAATATATCTGTTGCTTCATCCTGGGCCTCAGGCTCTCACCTGTAAAATGGGAATAGCAAGATAGCACCACTGGAAAAACCAACAAGAATGTAAAACATTTTTGCATAATGTAAGTGCTGTGCAAATGGTTACTAATTCTGACTTATTAGTTGGCTTTTTAGATTCAACAGCACAGAATCACCTCTTGTCCTTTTCTCCTGTATTGGATTCTCAGACAGATTGTCTTATATATTTACAAAGGCCAGTTTCCAACTGTCTCTCAAGGATGAGGAACATGTGGCCTCCTAGATGCTGTTGGGGCTGCCACTTTCATCACCCCAGTTGATTGGCCATGCTGGCTTGGGCTGATGAGAGTTGGGAGCCCAACAATATTGTGTTTGACAGGTTTCCCATTCCCACTCTAGCATAACTAAGAAAGAATATTAGTGGCTATGGGGTCTCTCAGAGGGCACTTGCAAAAACAAGCCCTGCTTCAGAGAAGTACTTTTCAACCAATACTTTTGGCTCAGTACTTTTGAGCAGCAACCAAGTAAACTTGTGCTGTCTTTGGAAAAAAACAAAAACAAATAGATGGTGAGAAATACAGCTCAGTTCTTGAAAGTGATCCAGTGAGCTGGCACCCAAGTGCTACCAAACAACCATTTCCAAGAAATCTATTAAAAGATGTATTTATTTTGCATTTCTACTGAGTATATGACAGAAAAGCTTAAAAACCACTTCTGTGATATTCTGCACAGCCAGTCAAACAAACAAACAAACAAACAAACAAAACAAACAAACAAACAAACAAACAAACAGAAAACACTTGGATCTTTTCCTTTTGGTGAGCGTCTGCTAGATCACTAACAACTGAATGTTCAGTGTCTAGTGCAGGAGTAGCAAGTGTGTTTCCCTCTAGACTTCAGGCTCCAGCTCCATCAGCCCCAACCAACATGGCTAATGGTCAGGGATGGTGGGAACTATAGTCTTGCAACAACTGAAGGGAACCACAGTGGCTACTCCTGGCCTAGCACCTACTAGTCTACCCCAAAAGCTGTTTTCAGTTAATGGAATTTCCCCCCACACTTCCTGTAGAGCAAACTGAGTTCCATATGTTGTGCTGCTGCTGACTTTGGCAAAACTGCAATTCTGTGGAATGACGGAATGCCTTATTTACAAACTGATAAACCGTATTTCCAGGAAAAATGGTCAAGAATGGAGTTATGTTTCAGGACATAGCTTTGGACAAGACTCTCCTGTGCCAACTCAAATCAAGCTATTAAGCAACTCTGTAAAGTCCTGCTAGAATTGCTGGGGTTACATTTTGTGTATGACAAACTGGTTGGTTGGTTGCACTTTGGACTGGGTCAAGCTTCCCCAGACACCATGGTGAAATGAGTTCAGTCTTGGCCTTGCCATCCATCCATTCACTCTTCAGAGGGTCTTTCACTCTCTTCAGTGCTTTTCTCAGGCAAAGTCTCTGGATTGGCCTCAGATGGATTACCAAACCCAGGATCTTCTAGCTGAGTCCCGTCTCCATCGTAGATGATATCTTCTGGATTTGGGGGTGGTGGGCAGAATTCCTCACTGGGAAACATCTCTTGAAATATGGCCTCAGCCTATTTGGAAGGAAGCAAACATTTAGTTAACCTCTTTACTGGTTGAGATTACAAACCAATCCACATGCATATTGTGGTGTGTCCACAAGCAACAAAACCATATTTCACATCTGCCTCACCACGTGCTTTTTCACAATACTGCTACTAAGAGATACCCAATGACTTCCTTTATTCATTCATACTCATGTCCCCCTAAGAAACAGAAAAAGAAGAAAATGTGTGCATGCACACGCTTGGACTTTACTCAGATCCCTTGGAAAAGCTGTAGAATTCATTTGAGCCTTGAAAAGCACACAGAGCTGAAAGAGGAAGTGGGAAAGAGTGTCACTCTTCCAACTTCCTCCTCCCACTGTATGTATTTTTCAAGGTAGAAAAAGGTTGCCACCCTTACCATCTCAAGACCAAGAAGGGCAGAGAGTTGGGACTCAAAGGCTTCGTAAGTGCCAGGGGGAAGATAACAAAGGCATCATTTCACCTACCACCGAGTTAAAGATTAAGAGCTATATATATATATAATATAATAGGGACGGGGGTGGCGCTGTGGGTAAAACTTCAGCGCCTAGGACTTGCCGATCACATGGGTGCGCTCCCGTCGTTCGGTCCCAGCGCCTGCCAACCTAGCAGTTCGAAAGCACCTCCGGGTGCAAGTAGATAAATAGGGACCGCTTACCAGTGGGAAGGTAAATGGCGTTCCGTGTGCTGCGCTGGCTCGCCAGATGCAGCTTGTCACGCTGGCCACGTGACCCGGAAGTGTCTGCGGACAGCGCTGGCTCCCGGCCTCTAGAGTGAGATGAGCGCACAGCCCTAGAGTCTGGCAATACTGGCCCGTACGGGCAGGGGTACCTTTTTATACATATAATTGTGGCCACAATGCTGTCAGGGTTGAACACTTCTAAGTCCCACTGATTTCAAATGGTAGAGAGCAAAGTGAGCAGCATATATTTTTACATTCTGATATCCAGATAGGACTACATAGAAACATTTTTAGCCATGCCTGTCCGAGTGAGCATGCAAGGATAACATGCACAACTTCTTACGCTCACAAGGCTATAGCAACCATTAATTTTTAAATGACTCAGGCCAAGTGAGAATATATGCAAGAAATTTTAAGCAGCTGCAGTTGCCCTCCCTATGGCCGTTATCAATGGGCTTTTTAACAGAACAGCTGACACAGCCTGAATGCTCACATCTGATCTGTATATTCAAAGGCTAATAGTAGCCTTAATTTTGTTTTACAAGGCAATAATTTGACTGGTAAGAGGATAAAAGATGAAGATCAAAGACTTATATTGGAAGAAGGCTTCTGTGATAATATTAATAAATTATCTTTTCCTCCCTCCTTTTTTTAATAAAAAAGATACTGTTGGAGATTGATTTCTAGAACTGGGTGAACTCTAGCAAAATCTTCTTAGATTAATTTGGGGGGAAATGCCCAAGCTTCCTCCGTGCTTCCAAAAAACCAAGAAAGGTTGTTTAATACGTGTTTTTTTTTGGGGGGGGTGCAATTTGAAGTATTGGAGAAATCACCTCTACCCACCTGTCTTCCTACAACACACTAACTGTCTCCATCATAATAGAACTAGGGTGGAAGAAAGGAAACAGCACAGACAAGGAGAGAGGAGGCTGTCTATTCTATATATCCTTCTCTTCTGCTGTCTACCTTTGCTCCATTTCTTCCCTCCTCCCACCCCCAATTCCTCAAACCCATATGAGCCAGCAGAAGAGGGTGTGGGAAAATGTTTGTGCATATAAAAAGGGCCAATGGAACCACCCCATTGTCGGGGTAGGTCATTCCCCAGTTCACTTTAAGAAGCTATAATTAAATGTCCCTGGGTATGGAATTGAGAGCAGCCCATAGACAATCAATTGATATATCCAAGAGACACATACCCCCCTCCAAACCCAATAGAGAAGACTCCTCACTCTCTGTAACTCAGCTCTTACTGTGTGAAGCATTTAACTAACAGCCCTGCTAATAGAAATTCCAAAGCAAATGCAGTTTAATGTTTCCATATGGCAGGCTGGAAGGGCCTAGAGCTAGAGAGTGTGGCTTAAGACAGCCCCATGGTGTATTTAACATTGAATACTGCAGGTCAGACTTGTTCATAACAATCCTGAATAGTTTATAACAATCCTAAAGTGTTCCCAATTTCTCCTATCCCCATTTAGCAGGTTGGGCTGTGAGAGTAGCATGCAACAACCTTGCAGTGTAGTTCACTGTTATATGAGCAGCAAGTGGGAGAGGGAGAGAGTAGCTTAAGGCAGCGCTGCAATACAATACAATACACTGTGCACACTGTAGGTCAAAGGAGGGGCTGAGACTGATCTAGTCTCTCTTATTTTTTAAGTTTTTTATGCTTTTCAAATTTATGCATTTCATTAGTTTTACAATCAATTTAGCATTTCAAAGTTTGACTTCCTTCCGCCTCTTTCTTCGGTTCCTGAAATTTATTTTTTAATATCTTCTGCATATCCAAATTCATTTAATTTGCTCATTAAATTATGTATTTTAAATACATATTCTTATGAAACTGCAGGTTATTACAATAATCCTGCTAATGTTTTTATCTGTTTGCAATGTATCTGTAAATATTCAATAAACCATTTCCATTCTTTTATTAAAAGTTTGTTATCTTGATTTCTTATTCTTCCGGTAAGTTTCGCTAGATTGGTCTAGAGAAGTGGTTCCCAACCTTTTTTTGGCCATGCCCCACCTAAGCATCTTTAAAATCTCGATGCCCCCCCCCCCGACGTATAATTCTTATTATTCAAAAAGTGAACTCCTATTCATATGGAGGAAGCCTAAAAGGCCATTCACTGTTAATAACTCATTCTCGAATTGCCTCCCCTTAAAAATCAAATTGCCCCCCATGAGGCGTGTGCCCCACATTGGGAACCAAGGGTCTAGAGTCTCAGTCAATCCCTCTGCCTCTCTCAGGTTGCAGCAAAAGGCAGTTTACTGCTCTCAGACCTCCTCCCAGGCCAAGTCCAGCACTCAATTGCATGCAGAAGCCTTGTGTTCAACTGGTACTTGCAACAGACATTGTTTGCAGTTCTAAAAGTAAATAGGACTCCTGTCTTTGATGCTAGCATGTTCTTTTTTCAGCCCCCTGAGTCACATCTAACTTACTTTAATTTTAATTAACAGGATTTATATGTGGTTTAATCATCCATAAACTCTAAGTGGTCTACATAAGCCAACACATGCACATTTTGTTGCAGAAACCCCACTTGCCTATATTTCTTGACTGGACCACAAAACAAAATAGGTATTACAACCCTGCCGTGTACCATCACCCTGAATGTTCCTCAGTCAAAAGCTGAAAAACATGAGACACCTCCCTTACCTGTTTGACAGCACAGTCATTTCCCAATGCGTTGTCTGGCCCAGAACAAACATAGATGTTGGGAGGCAAATTGGCATAGGATGTCCTATCTACACCAGAGGAGTCTCTCATGTTGAAATATACCGACCAGAGAATCTGAGGCTTTTGCCCTTCTCCTGCGCCTTCACTTTCTGGAACAATGGGGGGAAGACATTACTCACCAGAATTAAAATGCAGCAAGACTTGTACAGTACAGCAAAATGTTGGAAAGGCAAATTATTGGAGGTTGTGCTCTAGATTCTCCCACCTTTGGGGATTATGGACGAGGCCCTTTTGTTGCTGGTACCCAGATTGTGGAATAAGTCTCTCTGAAATGGATATCTGAAAGCATCTGAGAGCCCCCCTGCTTCTGGTTATTAAATATGGCTTTGCAAAAAGGAAAAGTGAACAAAGCATCAGACTGATTAATTCAGGGGCCCATGGGAATCATAGAGTTCCTTGAGAAAGTTTTGAACCTCAAACTGAGTAGAAAACCATATTCAAGGAGATTTAGAGCATCTCCTAGAAGGGGTTTCACTCAGAGCAGAGAGTGTTCATGGGCACTGAGATCAACTAAAGAGGACGACCCCACTGCTTAAGCACTCCAGTATGGGTTTTAGGGCTCAAAATGGAACCAAGGCAACACAGGCTGTTATATACAGCAAGCCACAGACTAGCACGCCTTCAAAACAATGGAAGATACCAGCCTCTACTGCCTCAGGAAGCAGTGGCTGACCTCATACACAGGATCTTACTTAGGTGGTATCTTCCACACACAGATAGCTTTTCAGGGGCCCTGTTCAGATGTGTGTATATATAATTCTGTAGCAATGAGGGTGGTATGTTGGACTGAGAAGATCTGGCTTCAAATCCACACTTAGGCATGAAGCTCACTAGGCAACTTGCGGCCAGTCACTATGGCCCCAATTGCACATCATATTAAACAAACCATAGTTTAACATGAACAAGCAGTGTGCTGGTACACCTTGCTCAAAATTTCCTGTGGCACATCTCCCCTGCTCTGCCATGTCACAGACAACACAAGCACACCTGTATCATCTGAACTTGGGCTCTTGTTTCATTTCCCACACAGAGAGACCATGAGCAGTCAACCAGGATTTGTTGTTGGCTTTCTGTTTGGGAATATTAAGTCTTGCTGCTCTGCATTTTAATTATGTGTACACGACTGGGAAAGAAGCGGTAACCAACCCTGAGGCTTTTAAGGCAGGGAAGAGGGGGAAACACACACCCCCCTGAAATAAAATTTAAAACAAATGCTATGCTCACATCGCTTAGAAAGAGAGAAGCCTTTCATAATGGATAAGAACAGAGGTTTGAAGGTATTCTTAAAGGCAAGCACAGGACAACTAATCTCTCTCTCTCTCTCTCGTGTGTGTGTGTGTGTGCGCGCGTGCGTGCGCGTGTGTTTAAACAGATGTATAATGACTGTTCTCAAGGAGAGAGCAGTTTACCTTTTCCAATCTATTTGGAAGGGATAGTCAACCAGCATAAAGCCTGACGCAGTGCATTCTTTTAAAAATATTATTAAAAGTTCCTAGTACCCTTAAAAAAAAAGAAGTTACTTCTTCCTCATTTAGGCAAGAAAATGAATAGAGTCCTCTTCTTCAGGTGACTTTGCTTCTCTGACCTGCCATGGCCCAGTGCTCACTTTATCTGGTGATTCATTTTCAATAACTCCAACAGTATTTGTTCTGACATTTTAATTAAAATATGACCACTACCTCATCTTGATGATAAAAAGGCCTATGTGTCAGTGAAAACTAGCTTCTCAGTGCCTCAGTGCACCTGAGGACCCTCCTGATCACAGAGTTCCTCCAAAAGAATTTCAGGCAGCTTCTAAACAATACATCACTTCAAAACCAGATCACTTTAAGCATTAAGATTAATGTTAAGAAGGAGGCAGGAGGGAAAGGACAAGATGATGCTAAGTGGCAATCTAACCACTTTCTCGTATTCCGAAGTGTGTTTTTTTCCGAATCTGTACAATGCTGGTTTGGTTTCAGGTTTTTTTTCTCTTTAAGTTAAATTACGGGAGATGAATTGGGAGCAATAGAAAACGGATTTGCAGTGTTTATATGAACCGTCTCTCTGGTCTGCTAATGGGAGTTGAAAAAGTAATACCTGCATAAATAAATAAATAGCCCTACAAATTTACAGTGTGATTTGTTGTTATTCTGTATGATTAAGTTCCATGGCACTCCAAAGCAAGTGCCTCCCCAGACAATACTGAACCTGGACAGTCACCATAGGAGGACCATGGCACATCCAGAGATGCACATAGAACTAGCTTCTCATTTTGTCTGATAAAACATAAAGTAAATAAAAAGATGCACACACATAATCAGCAAGGCTTTTGACGTGACTTCTGATACCTAAGTGGTGGAATGGCTGTCAATCAACTTGGGCTGAGAGAGAAGATTGTAAAGCATGACTTTTGTTTTAAAGTAAAACAAAACAAAGCATTTACCTGTTTCTGTACTTTCACTGAACAACTGGCCCACAACAGGCTCCAAATCTTCTTTAGCAGTTTTAATGGACGAACATGTTAAATGCACCAAATCTGTTGGAATGGGATAGAAAGGCACTTTTAGGATCCTCCACAGCCTGGCATTTACAATTTTGACTATTAGTGTTAAAAGTGTAGGTCAGCTTGGAACTGGGCAGCATCACGTGTAGACAGTGCAGCATTTATCAGGTCAGTCTTCTTCTGGGGCGAAGAAGCTGCAACTTTCTTGGGGGGACAACATTCAATGGCAGTGATATGGCATGGTAAACTTCCTCATTGCACTAAAACGTGGTCATGTGAATCCACCCTGAACTGCATTTAAAATTGCACATAGCTTTGCAATTTAAAATAATTTCCAACCCAGGTGACAACAATTAAAAAGAAGAAGAAGCAAGCACCACCAACTGAAATCAAGTCATGAGTAAAATACCTTAAACACTATTTCAGCTATTAATATGCAAAAATCAATCTTTGTCCCTCCCCGCTTTCTAAAATAACTGGATAAGCCTTTTTTTAAAAAAAATAACAACAACAACCACCTCTCCCTAAAAACTTCAAAGAAAGAAGCTTGCATTTTGAATATGAGCAACAGAGAAGTTTCGAATGCTGAGTCTGGCCACTGCTATTGCATGCGTCAATAGCATCCAGTTCCTCTACCATCTTGGACAATTCCATCGTCTAGATTCCCTTCCAAGATTTCCGAGAGCAGGGTCTCCAGAAGTGATCATCACAAATAAGAAGGCTCTATAGACAGCAGAAGAAGAACCTTGCTGCATCAGGCCAAAGGCCTATCTGATCCAGCACTCTGTTCTCAAAGTGCCAGTCAGATGTCTAAAAGAAAACTGCAAGCGGAATCTGAGCATAACACACACTCCCCACCTGCAATTTTTTCCAGCAACTGGCATTCAGAGTCATACTGTGACAACTGGAGGTAGAACCACAGCCACTGTGGCTAGTTGCTGCACCTCTGTGGATGCTCCCCCAGAGCATTCTAATCATTTTTTAGGTTAAAAAAAAACCCACACCTGTCCACACTCTAAATTTGAGATTTATCTTGATTATTTGCTTTGCTTGTTTTATCATTTGAGTTTTTGGAATCTACATTTTAATGCTTAACTTTTATTATTGTTTAACCTATTCTTTCCATATGCCTTCAGAATTCTTAAATAATAAAAAGGAGTGATATAATTTTAAAAATAAATAAATAAGCAAATGCAGAGAAAACTGAAGAGTTTGCTATTTTGTAGAACGTTTGCCATAAAATCTTTTTTTTCCTATTAAAACCACGATAATTGAAGTTCGCTTTAATTTACTATATAATTATCTGATCACATGTGATGTTACTGCTATGAGCCATCAGCATGCCCCCCCCCCACTGCCTTGGCAGTGTGTCTCTGATGTAATTGGGTTTAACTAAATTAGTTATACCGTGTGCCACTGCTGGTCTTTGAGTAATTCATTCAGGGCTGGGGAGGGCACCCTGTCTGAATAGCCTAAAGCAGTGGTTTCCAATTAGCTATGTATTGTGGACCCCCTGATTTTCAAAAGCCAAGCCATGGGCCCCCCATTTTGATATCTCTACTGTACTTTTTGTTATGTGAATGGTGCCAAGGCCCCCCTGGATGGGTTACGTGGACACCCTGGGGTTCATGGACTACCAGTTGGTATGACTATCTACATCAGTCATACTCTGGGTATACCCACTGAAATGAATGGAAAGAAGGAGGAGGAGGAGGAGGAGGAGGAGGAGGAGGAGGTGGAGGAGAAGAGGAGTTTGGATTTGATATCCCGCTTTATCACTACCCTAAGGAGTCTCAAAGTGGCTAACAATCTCCTTTCCCTTCCTCCCCCACAACAAACACTCTGCAAGGTGAGTGAGGCTGAGAGACTTCAGAGAAGTGTGACTGGCCCAAGGAGGTGGAGGAGCGGGGAAGCGAACCCCATTCACCAGATTACGAGTCTACTGCTCTTAACCACTACGCCACACTGGCCACACTGTTTCATTGCATTTCTTAATTATAGATGTTTGTATTTTCATATGCTTGCATAATTATATACTTGTAAACTGCTTAGAAAACTACGTGGTAAATATATAAATAAATAATAGTCAGGTAGAGATTTGAACATGGAACTCAATGTCCAAGCTGAAAGCTATATTCATGACAGCACAATGACAACAGCAAACAGTTTGCAAAATGGAAAAAAATCATATATGCTAACTGGGGGGGGGGGGGACATTGCACCCATTGAAGCTAAAGGAACACTTTAAAAATGTTTGAGAACAGCCATAACCAGATGGGGCAAGCAGGGCAGAGGAATGCGATGGGTGTTTACCCTCCATTTGGCAATACAGTTGTAAACTCATTGACTAGAGAAGAAAAGCTAAGTGCTAATGCCTTGCAGATATGGGCTTCCTGTGGTGTGCTATAATAGAGTTTTTATATATATATAAAAATTAGCTAACCACCTGTCATTTTAATGAATGAGCATTAGTAGTCCAATTGACCTGAAGTGTAAATACATAATTATAGACTTTTTAATAAAAGCTTATTAAAGTGATTTTTAATAACAAAAGGTAGTAGTGGGAAAAACACACAAAGTCTATAGGCAGATCATAAGAACAGCTACTTCTCAAACTAGTGCAGAACTTCCTTAGTTTTCATCGTTTGCAATTTATTAATCTTGGAAAGTGGGTGTCTCAGTTCAGTTTTTTGGGACACACAATGAGCAGGTTTGGTGTGAGATTGTGGCATTTTGAGACAGCAGCTGATGACACACTACCTAGAAAGGTCCTTAAGTGATACTTGCCCTGTCTCCACCCCACACTGTAAGCAACTGGGTATGAGAAAGGTCTCTCCTCTCTCACTAGTTATTCCAACTTCCACCCCCCCATCCCATTGTGCAAGCAGGATAGTTCTACCTGTAAAATGAACCCCACACAAGGTCAATATACCACCGATAATACAGAAGTTCAATTTTTAAAAAAGATTCCCCAAGCAACTGGAAACAGTTATGTTTTAGACCCCCTTAGTTTATTATGTTCAGAGCAGAACTTTAATAGTAAACGTTCCGTTGTCAAGAAAAGGCAAATGGATAGGAAATTAAATTGCCTGGGCAAGTATTTGTTCCAACCTTTAACATCCGCATTTCAATGCAGTTTATTTGAAAAACCTTTCTAATAAGGAGATCTCTTAGAGGAAATGCCACAAAGCCCTTTTCAGGAATGTCATTACTTTTCTATACAATATATTATATACTGTTAAAACACAGAAATCATCAAAAAACTTTATTGCTATATTAACAAGGTCCCATTTCCTTTAAGCTATTCTTATGCAAATACATATATATTAATCTCATTTACTGCTGCTACATTTTGTAGCTGCAACCATTTAAATAGGTAACAGAATTGGCTACATATTGGGTTTTGGCCTGGCAGATAAAGGGCTTGGGAGATTGATGCAAACAGAAGATTACAGAAATACTGGGGATATGGGATAATTTTATATTGAATCTTCAATCAAATTTCTCCAAATTTTGCAATGCAATTCTCTAAGTTGTTCTTGTTGGCATCTGTTTGTCTCAACAGACAACCGAGCGTGACTCCAGAGGTGAATTCAAACTGCTGCATTAGCAGCATCAAGCTGACCTCCCTGGAGTGCTAGCCTGGGCAGTGTGCGCGGATGTCCTGAGATGCCCAGATGACATGTACCAAAGGAAAGAAGAACAATATGTTTGGCAGCAGCTTGGTTGAAGGAGTTGCCAGAAGGAGGCATACAAGGCGCCATCCAAGTGTCTTAGGGACTCCACTCCAGATTTGTGTAGGGTTTACTCCTGAGCCTTTTCTACTCCCAAAAGTGAAGGGTCCAACAAGGTTTAGGATAAGAGTTTTACTTCTCCTAGATGGGCTTCCTTTCCAGGTTGACAAGCCCTATCTGCCCCTCCATAGCATGTGCAGAAACTGTCTTCTTGACCACTGGACCCACTATCGGTCTTGTCCACTCAATCCACCAGAGCATGTCTTTGCATGCAGGGGAAGTCTCTAACTCACCGAGGGTTTGAGACCCATCAGCTACCCTCACCTGGTGTAGCCGGCAGGTCAAAGCTGTTCCTGGTGTGTGATCGCTGTCACATGCTGACTGTTTGCAGGAGCCACAAGAGCTGAGTGCAGGGTGGAGACTAAAGGTGGACAAACCACCCCAGAAGGAGCATGGTGTGTCCCCCACCAGAGGTACTACTTACTCCTGTAACACCCCAAGTAATGGGCACAAAAATAAATATACTAGAAAAAGGATCCAAAAAAGGGCATATAAGTGAAAACAGCAGACAAAAAAATGCACCATATTAGGAAAAACAGCTTTCGAAAATATATATAGATTTTCAAAAGAACTTTCTGATATAAAAAAAGAATTTGCAAATAAATGTGGGAAACTGAATTTAAAATTAGAAAAAAAGAAACAGAGAGAACCTGAAACTGACAGATTTGCTCATCCCTAAAAACACACACAGAGGAATCTATGCCAGAGAGCAGCTGTTGGTGACAGGTTCCTGGAGTGTATCTACTGCTATATCTACTACTACTACTACTACTTGCAAGTCCCTTTCACACCAGTGTTAAGTCAGGACAAATATGCATGTTGCTATCAAGCATGTATTGGCTATGTTCCTGAAATTTATAGGGTATTTGCCATTCCTACTGAGAGTTGGCACTTCCTTTCTTGCCACAATAACAAAGAACAAAGTCAGAACATGTACTCACATGTATTTTTCATGCATGTCATGGTTGAAGAACATAGTTCTATGAGGCAGACAGCAGGCTGACCTGGCTCCATAGGTGGGACAGTCAAAATGGAAATCTGGAAAGCAAAGAAAACAGAATCTCTTTAAAAAGTCTTCCAAAAGAATCCATCTAGTAGTTCTTTGCAGGCTACAATGCAAGGCCCTTTTGCCTTTGCACCAGCATATTTAGCATATTATAAACCCAAGTCTGCCAAAGCGCTATTCAAAAAGAGACTGAGGGATGTTTGCCCCTGCTGCCTAATTATGCCTATTTTATTGAAAGCCACAACCACTGTGCTCTTCTCAATGGTATGCTTTGCTTAAGAAAAGTGTAGCATTTAGATTTCAGCAATAAACGATGTCTACTAAGGAAATGGCCACTATGGAAATGTGATTGGAGGCACTGTATTTGTTCACGTGAGATGTATTTGTAGAGATGGAACATATCCCTTGCTCTACAATTGATTGTCCCATTCAAAATGAGACTAGAAATAAATTATTAATAATAATAATAATAATAATAATAATAATAATAGGGACGCGGGTGGCGCTGTGGGTTAAACCACAGAGCCTAGGACTTGCCGATCAGAAGGTCGGCGGTTTGAATCCCCGTGACGGGGTGAGCTCCCGTTGCTCGGTCCCTGCTCCTGTCAACCTAGCAGTTCGAAAGCACGTCAAAGTGCAAGTAGATAAATAGGTACCGCTCCGGCGGGAAGGTAAATGGCGTTTCCGTGCGCTGCTCTGGTTCGCCAGAAGCAGCTTAGTCATGCTGGCCACAAGATCTGGAAGCTGTACGCCGGCTCCCTCGACCAATAAAGTGAGATGAGCGCCGCAGCCCCAGAGTCGGTCACAACTGGACCTAATGGTCAGGGGTCCCTTTACCTTTACTACTACTAATAATAATAATAATAATTTTTATTTGTATCCCGCCCTCCTAGTCAAGTAGCTTCATCTACATTGGCTGCAGAGATTTTCCAAATTTAAACCAGGCAACTTTATATGCATACTTATGTAATAGGATTATTTTAAAGGATCTCTGGTTTTATCTGATTTGCAAAGCTGATCTGTAAGGCTGATCTGTATACTTGTTCCTGTTACAACCTACAGTTTATAGTTTTAGATTTGGAAGTTATACAGAGATGCAGTGGGGTGTAGAACGTTGACCTTGAATCCGGAAGACATTTGTCCAAATCCTCACTCAGCCATGAAGCTCACTGGCAAATTTAGGTCAATCATAGCCTTGGTTTAATCTACCAATAGGGTTGTTGTAACACTACCAATCCCCTTGAAGGAAAGGCCATGGTTTCAAGCAACCTGTTGTTTGTCTGGGCCTGGTATGTGTTTGGATGGGAGACTGCTTGGGAACCCAAATGTACATGCTTGAAGACTACCATGTTGGAAGAAAGCTGGAATTATAATTGCAATAAAATAGAGATCCAAATATAAATGAGATATATAGATTATGTGCAGAGAAGTGGGACCAGATCTCTAACTTGATGTTTATAAGCTCCATCTATCTGTTAGGCAGGTTAGATCCAGGTTAAGTTGTTGTGTCCAACTTGTTTCTTTGATGTCAATGGGACTAAAGTGTGATTAACTTAACCTGGATCCAACACATAACCTTTGCTTATACTTAAGAATTAACTTCATTGATCAAGCATCTATGATCTTGTTTGTCCATTTCCAAGTTTTGAGCCTTCAAACTTAAAAACTCTCCTGCTTCCTGGCAAATGCGTCTAATGGTGACAAAGGCACTTAAATGGCTTTACAATGAATGGAAATTGTGATTGAAAATACAGTCACAAGCAAGCAGCTGTTTATAAGGCAGAAAGTTACCAATGCTTAATGGATGTGCTAACCTGCTGATCTGAGCTTGCCTTCAAAATCGACCGATCAGTAATGAGAACCGCTCTGGAGATCTGCCTGTAAGTGAATAAAGCAATTATGGTCTATCACCAAAACATAAGAAGAAAGCAGCCATATGGATTCAGGGTTTCTCTCTCTCCAAAAATAACTATTACCACCATGAGAAACTAACATTCCACCAGCTTGCACATTGCTAATGACACATTTGCATATGGCCAGCTTAGCTAAGAAATTAACAATGACTCAAGTGCATGCATATATGAAGGCTGCCAGATCTGACTCTTAATATTTATCAAGTTATAATGAATATACTCAGTACTCCGTATGGAACATAATGTTTACTTCACCCATCACAGAATCACTCTAATAGCAAATTGTTTTAGAGTGTAGAAATATGCAAACACATCAACCAATACAGCCAATGACTGAGAGCCAAAGAACTGTGCAGCTAGTGGGAATACACCTAGAGGCTTTGGGCTTATGTTTCTCCCACAACACGCCACATGGCAAACTACCTTTGAAATGAAGGGGACATTCAACAGCAGCTTGCAGTAAGGTGCAGGGTTCTGATGTATTTTTAAAATTCCTCTAGGCCAGAGGAAGGGAACCGGTAGCCATCCAGGTGTCACTGCATTCCATCTCCCATCCGCCCCTACCAACATGGCCAATAGTCAAGGATAATGAGTTTTGGCATCCAACAACACCAAGAGAGCAGCAGGTTCTTCATCCCTTATGTTCACCTAAAATAGCTATTTGGATCTTTGCCACTACAAATATGAAAAGAATAAGAAAATTTATAAATGTGGAACCACTGCCAAATGACGAAAGTAGGAGAACCTAAGGCCAAGGGCACTTCTGCCACCACCAACTGAACAAAACAGAGTGTGTGGAGGGCACAAGAAGCTGCTGGAGTAGTCTGCTGCTATTAGAAGCTGCTGCAGATAGAAGTCATGGGTCTGTGTGCTGTTGACCCACATGGAGAGTCACCAGGGTTGCATGTTTTGTTCTATATTGAGATATACCGTATTTTTTGCTCTATAACACGCACCTGACCATAACACGCACATCATTTTTAGAGGAGGAAAACAAGGGGGGGGGGTTCTGAATGAAACAGTGGATGTATCATTTTTGTGCCTCATGCTGTGGCCACAGACATGTGATCTGATGGTGAATTTGGGGTGACCTAATGCAAAAATCCTGAGAATCCCTGTAGATCTGTAACCACGTTTTTGCACCATTGTGGCCCCAGGCAACAGTGGGTGCGTGATTTTTTTGGTGCAGGCTGTAGCCATGGACATGCTATGTGATCTGATGGTGAATTTGGGGTGACCCAATGCAAAGATCCTGAGGATCCATGTGGATCTGTGCTTTGTAACGACGTTTTAAGTGGGGAGGGAAGGAAAAACACAGAAGCGACAAGGAGCACGAGAGGGGTATGCAGAGAAGCAGCTGGCTAAGAATGCAGGAGAGGGATTTAACGGGAGGGAGGAAAGGAAGGCAAAAGTTTCCACCCACCCACCCAAGCCAGCCCCCCCCTCTCTCTCCCACCTGCATGTTTTCCAGCTGCCTGCGAGTCCCTAAAATGCAGAAGCACCGGAGCACAGAGAGGAATTAGAAGGAAGGACGCGATCCTTTCCTTTCCCCTCTGCTTGCCTGGAGGGGAGGGGATTTCCCTGCTCTTTTTTCCGTTTGAGCAAACAGCAACCGAAACAGAAGAGGGTGGGCAGTAAGAACCTGAGGCAGAATGCAGGAAAGCAACAGCTTCCTCTCTTCAGGCGTCCCTCCTCCCTGACGCGCGATTTGATTTTTGCCTGATTTTTGCCCCTGCACTCGGGCCAGTCGGCTCCAGGGACCACACATTCGCTCAATAACACGCACAGACATTTCCCCTTACTTTTTAGGAGAAAAAAATCTGTGTGTTATAGAGAGAAAAGTACGGTACATAGAACATAGGAAGCTACCTTATAGAGTCAGGCCATTGGTTCTAGTTCAGTACTTGTCTATACCAGGTGCAAGGAACATTTCACCTTCCAAATATTGCTGAACAATTCTCATCACCTCTGGTCACTGGCTACACTTGCTGCAGCTGATGTGAGTCGCATTTCAGCAACATCTGAACAGCCAATGGTTCTCCAGGGGGTTTACACTGATTGATAACAGTTCTTCAGGGTTTCACATAGGGGACATTCCCAAGCCTACCTGGAGATTGAACCTGGGACCTTCTGCATGCAAAGCAAATGCTCTACCACTGAGCTACGGACCTTCTCCTGAATAGTTCCTGGGCTTGTGACTCTGCCTACCTATGCTAGCCTTCATTTTCCTCTCAACAGGAATGACTAGAAAGACTCCCAAATCAGGCTGTAGATTTGCTTGGTCAACAGCAGTACTCACTGGATCATAATTATGGTTCCTGGGGCTCACTATGCAGCTGCTTTCAGCTCAGCTCTGCCATCAATGAAGTGTACAGTGGTACCTCGGGTTAAGAACTTAATTCGTTCTTGAGGTCTGTTCTTAACCTGAAACTGTTCTTAACCTGAAGCATCACTTTAGCTAATGGGGCCTTCCTGCTGCTGCGCCGCCACCGCCCGATTTCTGTTCTCATCCTGAAGCAAAGTTCTTAACCTGAGGTACTATTTCTGGGTTAGCGGAGTCTGTAACCTGAAGCGTATGTAACCCGAGGTACCACTGTATATGGATAGCATCTTGCCAATATGTTAGTGAAGAACAAGCAGCACAACATAACTGAAGGAGGGCGGGACGGAATTGTGTTTATTTGGCAATCAACATGGTGTTTCTCAAAAGACACATCGGACCAAGCTTCCTTATTTAATAAAATAATGGGCTGCATAGGAAAGGGGAAGGTATACCTCTGTAATTAAGATTCTTGGACTACAAGCCACAATTTTGATCTAGTTCCATATGTTTTCTTTACTGAAGAGACTGAAACCACTGCCCGGGGGGGAAATCATGTAATGTGATGAACTTGAAATTGGCTGAACTTGAAGTGCACGTAAAGGAGGAGTGTGCAAAGGAGGAGTAATAAACAGCCTTATGACAGACTGGAAATGGAGACTTCTGCATGGATCAATAGTGGCTATCACATTATTGGATATCTTCATCTACAACGAGGATGAAGAATGAAGTGTATGTACCACATTTGTAAGAAATCCTGTTTCCCACAGTAGCCAGCCAAATGCTTTGGGGAAGCCCACAAGCAGGAGGTAAGTGAAACAGGCCTCTACTGCTGTTTTTTTCCTCAGTAACTGGTATTCAGAGGCATTTTGCCTGGAGATAGTAAACAGCCAGCATGACTTCCTCCAGGGGTTTATCCATAAGAACTTAATGGCTACACGGTTCAATAAATTTAATTGGTTTAAAAAAAAAAAAAGATTAAGTTTTCAGAAAGCAAGGGGCTCTTTTTTTATTTGGACATCCCAATGCGTTCAAAAAGAGTCCTGGTGCACCAGACCAAAGGGCCACCTAGTCCAGCATCTCCATAGTGGCCAACCAGATGCTCTCCCTCATTCCTGCCTCTCAGCAACTAGTACAAGGCATGGTGCCTCCAGATGCAGAGGCAGCATGCCTATGAATACCAGTTCCTGGGAGACAACAACAGGTGAGGGCTATTGCCCTCACAACCCACTGGTGGGCTTCCCAGAAGCACTTGATCAGCTATTACTGAGAGAGTAAGGCTCTTCCTAGGTCCTTATCACTCCAATGTTTGCTTGCTACCCCAAAAGCCTGGGAAGCAGCAGCTAGACTCTTGGTTCCCATTTCAGCTCTTCAAAGTAATGTTTGAAGCTGACCTAAAGTTCAAGCAATGATTGAAACTTTCCTTATAAATAGAGACAGTGAGCTGACATAGAAGGAAAGTGGGGGGAAGTATTACTCCTTTAATTACCTTGTTTTGGTTAAATACCTTCTGAAGCATCCAGTATTAGCCATTGAGAGAGAGAGGAGACTGGATCAAACAGGCCATTGGCTTGACCCTCAAGAGCACTATGGCAGCTTTTTAACATTCTTAAATAGCCATTAGCTGGCTACTAATTGCCTCAGCAAAGGTTAATGGCATAAATGAAGCAGAGTCAGGGAGGGGGTGAGGGAATAGGTGTAAAATGCAGGAAAGTTCAATTCTTTGTGCCTTCAAGAGGCATCTGAGCTACTCTCCTGGGTAACTGGTCCAGAACCTGAACAAGGACACAAATGCCAGGGCGAATTGCAATATAATACAGAAGAGTTTTTTCCCCTTAGTTGGAAGGCCAAGCTACATGTAACACATAAGATCAGATCTTCCCACGTTTTTTGTCAAAGCTTAAAGACAAATGCTCAGGGAGGTACAATCCTTTCCCTTTCTGAGTTTCCCTGTCTGAAATCAAACACTTAGGTAAAAGCTGCAGCTGCTAATAGCCTCACCAAGGAAAGAAGACAGGTACGGATATAAGTATCTGCCTTTCCCAACCCACCACTTCACCAGTTTACACATATCTATTTCCTTGGGAGATGCTATAAGCCCTGCTTTCAAGCCAATTTTGGCACATAGTCCTTTGGTTTTGAGATCTTGATAAACCATTGTTTTGTTTTCTGATAATGTACTGAATTAGGCTTGCATTAATAACCCACAGAACAACTGTAAGGAGGAATTCTGCGGCTTTCACTTCCATTTTATATTAACCACAGTTAGCTATGTCATCTGTACCCCAAACTGCAGTTAATATTAAAAATGGATTGTGGAAACGATACAACTTCAAACCACAGTTTATGAAGCTGGCTTATTTCAGCTAACCATAGCTAAGATTAACCACAGTTTAGGGTTCAGATAATATGCTAAAGAGCAGTTTAAGTGGAACCTTCTGCTGGAGGAGTAAGAGGGTGGGTCATGAGAGCTAGTCTCATTTAACACCGTGGTTTGATGTTATGCCTGAATGAATGCATAACATCCACATAATTTCTTAAGAAGGAAGGTGTCTCCAGTGCATGTATGCACAAGAGTAGCGAGTTAGGGAGTGGAACAGAAAATGAAGACATATGTAGGACATCTATACACAGCTTGCACTCATTTTATAGTAGTTCACATAGGACTATGTGACAACTGAAGACCTGTAATGGGTGATTGTAATCTTTAAGGCTGGCAGAAAGGGGCATGAAATACCTATTAGGCTTCTTTTCTGTCTTGATACGTACCTGTAGGACACATTTGCACAGGTTTCCTCTGAAAAGTAGCTATCTTCCACAACAAAATAGCTGGCACTTATTCTTTGACCAAAATGATCAATGACTGCCTTGCACCTGTTAAGAGAAAGATGGACAGATAGAGGGGAAATCATTTCTTTTTGACAGGCATATTTATGAAAAGAAAATTGAGGAGGCCTTCATTGTATGCTTCAGGCAAGTTACTAAGCACTTTTTATTTTGAAAACCTTTAAGAAATACAAGAGTTGGAAGGGACTCCACAGGACACCGAATCCAGTCTGCTGGTGACGAAGGAGGCGTGCTGCTAGAATATCCCAGATAGGTGGCCATCCAGCTCCTGTTTAAATAATTCTAATGAATGAGAGTCCATCACCTAAGGCAATCTGTTCCACAGCTGAACTGTTTGCACCATCTGGGAATTTGTCCAAATGTTTTGTCGAAATCATCTGTGCAGCACCCCTTTAAATATTTGAAAACGGCTCTCATATCACCTCTTAATTATCTCTTCTCCAGGCTATACATACTTAACTCTTTCAACCTTTCCATGTCGGACTTTCAGCATAGGTTAAAGTTGACTTTTCTGATTTTAAAGCAAAATGGTTTTATTGCAAGAAATTGATTTTAGTAATTGGGCTGTTTTTACTGCTTTGTGTATTATTATTATTATTATTATTATTATTATTATTTTGTTAGCTACTTTGATTTGATTTTAGAAAAGGAAGGCAGGCAATAGCTTATGTTTTCTTTATTATAAAATAATAAATAAAACAAATACAAGTCCCATTCAATGGGCTTAACTATTTCTCCCTGAATTTGCCCAATCACTATGTTATAAACATAAACTACTGAAGTGAAATAATTAATGTATTAGAACATTGGATACATCGTGGTCGTGGGAAAGTTTCTTTCAGTAGTCATACGAATCAAAGATCAACATACCCATGTCTAAGCAAATAACGCTTCGGTCTCCCTTCCCTGAGGGGTTGTCTGTATGAATCTGTATTTTATTCAGAATCCATGTTATGGGTTGTTGGATCACAATAAAGATTATTATTATTATTGATACATTATTTCACAATGACATATCCCATCATTTTGGAAGAGGCTCTTCTTTGAACACCTCTACCATGTACACTGTTTAGCAATGCAGGCAGCTCCATTGGGGGTAAATGGGACACTGCCCCACCAGCCTCAGGCTGCCCTCAAGCAGCCTTCACCTGCTTGCCATCTTAATTACAACCTGTCCAGGAGAAAACATTGACTGGCAGCTTCCTCCTTCTCCTCCATCTGTGCTGTAGAACTCAGCAGCAAGGAGGATGGGGACAAAACAAGAATGAGTTGGCTGTGCCTGTCGTTGGCTCTGGCTCCACCTACTGTTGGCCTCCTGCTCTACAAATCCAGATGGGTACTACTCACCACTGCAGCTATGAGAGCTTTGTGATCAAGTGTTTTATAAATCTTTCTAAATAAATAATTGAAATAATCTAAATAAATAAATATGAGGTAGGGGAACACGAGACCTTCTTGGTCTTGAATCCCATCCCCAGAGTCGCTCACCTGGCACTGTCCTGTGATCCTTCAGATGCCATGTGGAGACCTCATTGTTCACTGAGGTCTTTAAAAGTTTTTTAAAGTTCTGAGTTTTAGCGCAGCCTGCCATTTTAAATTGGGCAGCTTTATTTGTTCATTGTAAAACTGCAGAAAAATACTATCTCATTGGAAAGGGGCCCTGGGGGGCTGTGGTGTTGAAGGATGGCATATAAATACAGAAAACCAAGAAATAACTTAAACCGAATTGGGCAGACATATAGGATCATCTATTCAGCTTGCAACGTTACCCTGATTTAATTTTAACTTTTTAAAAAGATCACTTTAGAGTTGCTCATTTAAATGCTGCTAACAAACTGTCTGGTCAAGCTGGCACAGTTCATATTTAATTATAAGCTATTCTATTGTTTATGAAACAATTTCTCCCCTCTCTCTGAATATTCCAGTGGGAAGAGTGGAGGTTGATTAAATGTCATGTTGCAGCATTCAAAATAAGCAAAAAAGCAAGTCACTAGTTCTTTATTTCCCCACTTTTTTCCATTTTCTCCTTCATTCAGTGATGCTTAACAAGTCGGACATACAGTAAGGTTTTATCCAAAAAGTAGGAAGGGAGAGTGTATGCACACATCTTTTAATACTGGTTTCTACTTCAAAAGGGATGATCAGCAGAAGAATTCTTTCTAGTGCCACGTTCAAATAAGGAAAACACTTATGCAATGACATTATCAGGTCTTTGTCATCTGATATGTGTTAGGACAATGAATCATACAGAACCCTCCATTGACCTTCTTCAATGTGTCTAGATAAAAGGATGAAAATTAGAATCCATCTCCTTGCCAAGTGCCACCAGTTATAAATGTACTTTATAGGGCTCATTATCCAAACTAATGGACTAAGGGCGACATCCTTGAAATGGACTTACCAGCACTGACAAAGCCACTATGCAATATTTCAGGAAAGATATGTAAATTACAGTGTTTGCTATATCTTTTTTTTACTATGGAAATATAAATTTACATTTGTCACATCTCTTCAGTTGGAGGCCGGGATTGTTTCATTGGAAAACGCACTTAAAACTGTGCTAGAAGTAAAATGCGGGCAATTATTTTTAATGTAAGGCCTGCTCAAAATATACAGACGTAAATTAAAATACCTTAAATCTTATCAAATGGAGCCACATAAGCAAGATCTATGCAGCATAAAAGAACTGAGAAACAAAATTAAAAAGGAAAGGAAGCTTATAGGGAGCGGAAATTCAATTTTCGTCCCCCTAAAGGCAAAAGCCATGAGGAGATTCTCATTCACAAGCAAAGCAGGCAACAAATTTGATGGGTATCCAGTGGCATTAGCAAAACAAAACAAACCCATCCCCCTTATTTTAACTAGAATGCTGTATATGAAAAAAACTTTTTTCTCCTATTTCCCTCCTCAGCATCTTGCTTAAGATACAAAGTTACACATCCTCACTTATTGGGGCACATAAACATAATCTATAATAATCCAGGGCTCTGTGGCATGGAGAGATAATTAAGAGACAAGACAGGGACTGCTAAACTTATAAATTTTGTGTGTGGAACCTCTGGCCCTCCAGATGTTGCTGAACTCCAACCCCCACAATCCCTAGCCATTGGCTATGCTTGCTGGGGCTGATGGGAGTGGTAGTCCAGCAACATCTGGAGGACAAAAGATTCCTCACACCTGCTGTAAATCCTGATCTGCTATGTGCCTTGCACAGCCATTTCCTAGGGCCATGGGAACTCTAACGCTCCTAGGGCTCTTGGTGTCTGCAAGGGCTTCCACATTCACTTCAATGGAAGAAAATGTTCCAATTTCCTTTTGTATTTGCCATTCACTCCTGCCATTAAAATTAATGGGGCAGACCAGACATGTGGGATGTTCCATGATCACAGTGAAACACCCATGGAGCTCAAATATTAGGGGTGGGGGTGGAATGTTCATGGAGCTTCAGCCTCTCTCTCTCTCTCTCTCTCTCTCTCTCTCTCTCTCTCTCTCTCTCTCTCTCTCATGCTGGGAAAAGCTCTTGTGCGCCTTTGAGCATGCAGTGCTCAACATCGTTGCTGAGAATGAGATGACCCAGTTTGAAAAGAGCTCCATGCGTGTGCTTTGGTACGCCCTCAAAATTTTCAACCCATGGCAGGAAAATTAGGAAAGAAACAATACTTGTGGGATTCTGATCTTCCATTAACGCTAGTCCTCAAGATGCCTTCTACCTTTTGTCATTTTGCATGAAAGCAATATGATGCAGTTCATATAAAAAGGTTATGATTACTTTACTTAATCTCAGGAAGTGCCATTCCATTGCTTCCATGTTATGTCAGCTTCAGTGATTTAACGGCAGAGAAACTGCAGGACATGCCTTGCACAGAGTTAAATCTTTGTGACAAGAGCATTCTTTCTGAGCGTTCCTGTAATCTGTCACATGACATCCTCTAAAAAAATGGAAGTTACGCTTCAAAATAATAAGCGTTACACTGAAGGTAACCAGACAACCTTTTTTTTCATTTCCTTTGCTATAAGCCACCTTTCCCCAGTATCTCATTGAAGGACTAATCTTATCCAAATCTGCTTTGCCCAAACCTAAGAACAAACCTCTGGGTCAGAAATATATATACACACAAAATCAATCTATAAAGCAGCCTAAACACAGTTAGCTCTATATTAGCACGTAAGGAAGTTTTCAGACACTAGGAAAAAAGTTTTTTCCCCCTTTCAGAATGTGAATAGGTCACAAATGGGAAGCACAGTATTCATGGCTAGTAACCACTCTAAACCGAGTGAATGGGCAGTAAAATGGCAAATGCAATTCACTGAAAACAAGTGTAATGTGGTGCATGTTCATTTTGCATGCATTTGTGGGGTTTGAGCTGATGGTGACGGGCCAGGATCATGGAGAAAGTGAATAGTGAAAAGTTTATGTCTCACACACATAAAACCAGAACTCAGAGACGTCCAATGAAGCTGAATGCTGGGAGATTATAGACAGATAAAAGAAAGTATTTTTTCCATGCAGTGCACAGATGAACTATGGAACTCGCTCCCACAGGAGGCAGTGGGATAGACAACTCTGATGGCTTTAAAAGAGAATTAGACCAATTCATGGAGGAGAAGGCGATCAATGGCTACTAGCCATGTTGGCTATGCTCTGTCTCTTCAGTTGAAGGCAGCAATGTTTTTGAATACCAGTTGCTAGAAACCACGGGAGGAGAGAGTCCTTTTCTGCTTGACTCCTGCTTGCAGGTTTCCCACAGGCATCAGGCTGGCCACTGTGAAAAGACCCTGCTGCATAAAACGTGCCACTAACATGGGTGGATTTATCTGTGAGGCTGATGTGGCATCCTCCTCTTCTTTTCAGTCTCCCCGCTTCCATGTGGGGAGCTGGCCAGATACTTATCTTGCCCCAACCCTCGTAGGCCAACTGTGACAGGTGGGTGGAGCCATCCACCTGCCAATCACCTGATGTCATTATGACAGGGGACAACTTCAGAGGGGTTAACTTCCAGTGCCAGTTGAGACTGAGCTTCTTTGAAGGCATACTATCAGTGCCAGTTAGCATTGACAGCACAGCTTCAAAGTACCCCTTTCAAGCCCATTTACATTCAAACCACACCTGCAAATAGAGAGGAAAAACATCAGCTTGCAAGCGCAGCAATGGACTTCTCAAACATGCTGTTAGGCAAGGGTACTTTGCAAGTACTAACTATCGGCTGATCACTGGCCCTTGCAAAGGCCTTGCCTAGCACAGCACACTTAAAGGAGGTTGCTGGAACCACTAATCAGTGGTGACTCCAAACCCACATTTGCTGCCCTGCACCCGACATCATATATGACGCAAACAGTAAGCAATCTTCCTTTTCCCCATCTTCAATAGGACAAAAGAGTGTAAGAACAGCTTGCTGGATCAGGCCAAAGGCCCATCTAGTCCAGCATCCTGTTCTCAAAGCAGCTGACAAGATAACCCAATGGGAAGCCTGCAAGCAAAACTAGGGTCCAACAGCACTCTCCCCACTTGTGATCCTCACCAACTGGAGGATGTGCTGTTTCCAACAGTGGAGGTAGAAGAAAGCTATTAGGAGCTCCCTTGAGAGGAAGGTTGGGATAGAAATTTAACAATTTTTTAAAATCTAAATAAATACTTTAATAACCATTGACAACCTTATTTCCCATGCATTTGTCTAATCCTCTTTAAAAGCCATCTAAACTGGTGGCCATCTCAACCCACTTCACTGTCCTTCTCTTGAGTTGTAGGTGGAAACAACTAGCAAAATCACTCCGGTCACTGCCATGTGGATCACATTTGTAGAAATCTTAATTGTATAGGTGCATGGGTGACTGAATCTACACAGAATCATAGAATTGTAGAGTTGGAAAGGACCCTGATAATCATATTGTCCAACCCCCTGCAATGCAAGAATCTCAACTTAAGCATCCATGGCAAATGGCCACCCAACCTCTACTTATAAACCTTCAGGTAAGGAGAGTCCACCATCTCCTGAGGGATGCGAGGAGACTGGGTCTTACATACATATATGGTGGTTTTGCAAATCTGTTTACCTATTTTTGGTTCTGGTGTTTAAAGAATTGAATTTAATATACAAAACAGGCCTACAACCTTCCCCTCAACTTGCTTTACTTGGAATAAAGGATATATCTACTCCACCAATTGCTCATTAAAGTCCTTATACCACTGGTCTGTCTAAGCCACTACTGCCAATGCTTGCTGGGATTAGTTGCCCAAGGTGCTAGGCAGACATCTCTCTTGGTCCTGCAAACCTCATCTCCTTTAACTAGACAATGTGGGGGAGGGGGCAGTGTTGACAAAGGCTATTTCTACAGGTAAAGACTATCTAAGCAGAACATCAGAGGTCACTGAACTTTTCATTGCCTTACTCCCTGAGCTGCCAGTTTTTCCAGTGTATTTTCAGCAACTGGAGATCAAACCTGGGACCTGCCACACACAAAGCATGTAGTACTACTGAACTACTATCGCTCCTTAACTGATGGTTGTTGCATTTGGCTGGCAGGCTGTCAAGCAAGCAAATTGTGAATGAGTCGCTCTTGCTTAATTAAGTGGGGTTGGGGGAAGCCTAGCTTGTAGTACATCACACACACACACACACACACACACACACACACACTGATGAGCATTTAGTCACAAGTCTAGCCAATATATGAAGATGCTGTGTGTGATTCAGACTTAGCTATGCTTAAAGTGGACCTACTGAGATCAGTGGGCTTTATGTTCATTACGGCAGACGTCCCGCTGATTTTGGTAGGTCTCCTCTAAGCAGAATAAGTCTGGATCCAACACATTCTTTCTAATAGGCCCTTTCACAGGAGTGAATTCCATTCCCACAGCAAAAAAAATCAGCCAATTTTGATCCAACTTTTTAAAAAGTTGCCCAGAGGCCCGATACTATTGTAAAAAGAATTCATCCTACGGTAAGAGGGCAGCATAGTTTATGACAACAATCTACCTAAAAACTCATTAAAGCCTTTTCTCTTAGAGTGACATGCATTATCAGCAAAGATTAATCTGATGAGTCTTTGGGTGAGCTTCATTTTTAAAAATGCAATAACAGAGGGCTTTGTTGTCATCTGATGAAAATCAATTAGAGTAGGTAAGGCCACAAGGAAAACTAACATCACTCATCACCAGACCCCCGGCAACCGAAATGATTTGTCTTCCAAGCTTGGGTGATCAGGAAGGAGGCTGCAGTAATATCGCAGGGAAATTAATTTAGTTTCTATATTCTAAACCCACTTTCCTTGTTCTGGAGGACCTATACACAAATTACTTTTAATCAAGGTTGATGTGTTATTAATACCAAGGAAGATCTTTGAAGAACCATTTTTAAAAAATTGACTCCAGCATTTTTCATCTTGCAGTTCTGTGTATATATATATTTATATAAAAAGGAGAGAAAGGTTAATTCTTGCTAGCCTTACCTTCTAGTTTCTTTGTCCACCACAAGGCACTGCACAGGATGGCGGAGACAATAGACACCGCCAAATACTGCACACATCCTAGAAGAACATCAGAAATAAAATAAAAAAATGAGGGGTGAGATGTAAATAAATTTCAATTCCCAGACCCTCCCAGTGTCCCTATTTTCTAGGGATGTTCCTGATTTAGAGAAGCCATCCTGGTTTCTGATTTGATCCTGGAATGTCCCACTTTACCTTAAGACATCCCTATTTTCACTAGAGAAATGTTGGAGGATACAGAGTTATCTGACTCCCGAGCCGTCTGAAGGCAATCCTGTATAGGGAAGGTTTTTTTTAATGTTAATAATAGGAATAATTTTATTATTTATACCCCACCCATCTGGCTGAGTTTCCCCAGCCACTACGGGCGGCTCCAAACAGAAGACTAAAAACAGAATAAAATTTCAAACTTTAAAAACTTCCCTAAACAGGGCTGCCTTCAGATGTCTTCTAAAAGTTAGATAATTGCTTATTTCCTTGACATCTGATGGGAGGGCATTCCACAGGGCAGGTGCCACTACTGAGAAGGCCCTGTGCCTGGTTCCCTGTAACCTCACTTCTCGTAGTGAGGGAACCGCCAGAAGGCCCTCGGAGCTGGACCTCAGTGTCTGGGCTGGACGATGGGGGTAGAGACACTCCTACAGGTATACTGGGCCAAGGCCGTTTAGCACTTTAAAGGTCAGCACCAACTGATGCTTGGAAACATACTAGGTGCCAATGTAGGTCTTTAAGGACCGGGGTTATATGGTCTCGGCGGCCACTCCCAGTCACCAGTCTAGTTGCCACATTCTGGATTAGTTGTAGTTTCCAGGTCACCTTCAAAGGTATCCCCAGGTAGAGCGCATTGCACTAATCCAAGCAGGAGATAACTAGAGCATGTACTACTCTGGTGAGACAGACTGTGGGCAGGGAGTGTTTCAGCCTGCATACCAGATGGAGCTGGTAGACAGTGGCCCTGGACACAAAATTGACCTGCGCCTCCATGGACAGCTGTGAGTCCAAAATGACTCCCAGGCTGTGCACCTGGTCTTTCAGGGGCACAGTTATCCCATTCAGGACCAGGGAGTCCCCCACACCTGCTCGCCCCCTGTCCTCCAAAAATGAGTACTTCTTTCTTGTCAGGATTCAACCCCAATCTGTTAGCTGTCATCCATCCTTCAACCGCCACCAGACACTCACACAGGACCTTCACCACCTTCACTGGTTCTGATTTGAAAGCAAGGTAGAGCTTAATTTTTAATATTTTATTATGTTTTTACATATGTTGGAAGCTGCCCAGAGTGGCTGGGGCAATCCAGTAAGAAGTGTGGGGTATAAATAGTAAAATCATCATTATGGAATGGGACGTCCCTATTTTCATCCGAGAAATGTTGGCGGGCATGAATTCTATCTTCTCTAAACAAGGTAGCTTGCAATGATTCAAAACAATTCATGATGTACGTTATGTAACTACAGTGGTGCCCCGCAAGACGAATGCCTCGCAAGACGAAAAACTCGCTAGACGAAAGGGTTTTTCGTTTCTTGAGCTGCTTCGCAAGACGATTTTCCCTATGGGCTAGCTTCGCAAGACGGAAACGTCTTGCAAGTTTGTTCCTTTTCTTAACACCGTTAATACAGTTGCGACTGACTCGAGGAGCAACTCATAGAACGCGGTGTGGTAGCCTTTTTTTGAGGTTTTTAAAGACTTTGGTGATTTTTGAAGCTTTTCCAAAACTTTCCCGACACCGTGCTTCGCAAGACGAAAAAAATCGCAAGACGACAAAACTTGCGGAACGAATTAATTTCGTCTTGCGAGGCACCACTGTAAAGCCACATGAAGACCACAATCCTATGCATGCTTTCCTAACAGTAAGCTCCATGGAACAGAGTGGGACTTATTTCTGGGTAAACGTGTCAAGGACTGCAGTTCAAATGCCAATTTGCATCTTTCTAGACTTCTTAATCACTTGATGGGAAGATAGAGCTTATTTAATATTTCATTTATTCTTTTTTTATTTTTTATTTGTTTATGGTGTTTTTTTTAAAAAACAAAGCTGAGCAAGGCCCAAGAAACAGGCAAGGATCCACTAACCATCTCAACCCGTCAAACCTCCCCAGCCACCCCACCAAACCCCTGCCTCTCCCCCACCCTGCCCCCACAATCCAATCACCATTAGCCATGCACCTTTTAATAGCAGTTTGTTTCAGATGAAGCTGTTGCACACCATAATAAAACGGGCTGGCCAGGATAACTTTGCCATATACTTTGCTCATCTCTGAACTACCAGAATAAATCTAACCCTAAAACAGCATTCCTGTACTAATATTTCTGTGGCCATTCACTTCTGATTTTATAAAAGGAAATGAAAATCAGATCCATTCATAAGTGATCAAGACTTGTGGATGATGTCTTTTAAAAAGTGAGTCAAACAATTCTCTCTCAGTTGAGAGCAAGGTCACAAAACAGGGGGAAAGGGAGTTAAAATAGCTAAGAAACTGAACACACACAAGAGAATGCTCAGGAGAAACCAAGAGGCACCAAAGAAATAAATGAGGTCCTGGTCTTTTTCTTTAAAAGTGTGTGTGTGTATTCAAAAAGAATAACATTTCCATAGGAAAATCAATTAGATTTGTTTGCTCACATAACTGGAGACAGGGTGTTTGGCAATTCAACACAGCCAGCTAAACATGTGTGTTTATTAGACAAATGTTTGTCTAAAAACGGTAAACTAACGAGTGAAGATCTAATAGAAGCAATGAGGCACGGTCAATTTTTCAATTAAATCAGCCCTAGAGGTTTTTACGCAGCATCTAGATGAATCAATATGTAGAACAGATATCCAGCACAGTATTGTACTTGGAATTTATTTAAACATGTGTCTGTGTATGTTTCACACACAGACAGCACATATTATGCTACACTATATTACACTATTTATTAATAACTGAACTCTGAACTGAACCCTTCCAACTGTGCAGCCCTGAGATCAGTTGCTGGAGGATGGGGGGCATAAATGAAGCACATGAAGCTTCAGGGAAGGGCAGAATGCAAATTGCCCAGTATTTATAACAAACCTGGCAAATCCAGAGGTTTCATGTTAATCACAAGGGCAAATATTATATATTATTTTAAAATAACTACCCTGCTTTGCAATTCTGTGAGTTTGAGGTGGCTTACCATTAAACAATGATAAGACACCAGCATTGAACGAATGGAGAAGTAGTATGTGAACAACTTATGCACAAAACAGTTTATTATAAAAGACTTTGGGATGGGTCACATTAAGTGGGTATCTTAATCTAATCTACTATATATTTTTGGAAAGTAGTTTGCCTGCCCAATTGTTCTCTATAGGTTTGACCACCTCTTGTGATATTGTCATCAAATTCAGTACGGGGTTACCAAGGTGGGGGGAGAAGTCTTTGTTGACACTGGGTCACTAGCCACCATTTTAAATCAAGATGGTGAACCAAAATCATGACTTCACTCAGTTTGGGGCATAAGTCTGTATCCTACTGAGGTATTGTCACCAAACTTGGCACAAGGATTCCCAAAGTGGGTGCAGTGGTCTCTGTCAATATTTAGATGCCAGGCACTATTTTGATTCAATATGGTGGACCAAAATGTGACTTTGACATGACTTCATCCACTTTTTGGCATGATGGGTCCAAACTCACAAGTTACACGATTCATTAAAAAATAACTTTGGGCTGTGCCTGCTTCAATTCTGCAAATGGGCATTTGAGCATAGGTGGGAATCTTGTTTAACATCCCCTGTGTGTACTGCAAGGTCAGGGAGCGTGGGGCCCTCCAGATGTTTCAGACTCCAGCCAACATGGCCCATGGCTACAGAAGATGGAAACTGTACTCCAGGAACATCTGGAAAGCTACCCTGGTGTTGAGGATTTCCTGTTCACTTCAATAGCAAGGGCAGCTCCCTGCCAACAACATCTTGCAGTGCAAGGAATATCAAAGGCTCCTAGAGACATATAGGGCTGTATTCAACCAAGTCCTATTCAGTAGACCCATTGGAATTAATGGGACTAAGCTATTCATTAATTTCCATGGGTCTAGAATTAGATACACGCCATGGAGATCCTGGGCAGGATGCAACTAAGATGTTGCTGCTAATGGAAGCCAACACAAAGACTCCTGCAAGCTCAATGGAACTTTCACGCCCATTCTCCTTCTCATGTTGCCTCTGTGACTTCTCCAAATCTGCTCTGAAAAGTGGGGGAAACCCTCAGAACAGAGTGCAGGGGGAGGAGGGGGAAATTATTCCATCAGGCAGGCACAAATACCTGAGGTGATGGAACTATCTCCTTAGTGCTATGTTGAGCTCCACCTCCTGGATTTTTATGTTACAGCTGTGTCCCATGCATGTAATTTGTCCTCCTACCTAGCCTTGCAACAATCCTATGATTTGGGTTACGCTGAGAAATGGTGAGTATGGTAATCCCAGATCACCAGGTGAATTGCATGATGTAAAATTGATTACAACCAGGGTCTCCTTAGTCCTTGACCAATGCTCTAGCCATGACAATTTGCCATCTTATCTATTGACTACACCAGCACACTGATGTAGCTGTATCAGAGGGAGAGGTGAAACACCAACGCCCTCATTACTAATTTGGTTGGGATCAATTTCTATTTGGTTCCTATGTAACACAATGTAATAATTGGTACCAGATTTGCTTCTTTTCCTCTTCCCATCTCACCCTTTTTGCCTTTGTTCCATAACTATTTGATTATATGCCAACAAGACTGTATGTAATTTTAGTAAAGATATGAAATAAGACAGGTGAAACAATTTGGAATTAATTCTCTAATGCTCTTTAAAAGTCGAAATCTATATGAAAATCAAGCAAACTGTCTTGTCAATTTCTTATTCTACAATAGGCTGATTTGGCTAGAACCAAAGTACAAGGTAACTCTTGATACTATTAACCCTAAATGACAGACGTTTAAACTGATTCTCCTCTAATTAACTGGCTACTGTCTCAGCCAATAATTCAGGTTTTGCTGAAAGATCGCGCCTGTTACGCACTGTGTTTCAACTTTGCCCTGGTGACATCAAACTGCATTACAGCTAAATTAACAGTTGCGAAAAATTTTGGCCTAGTAATTCCCCGCCCCCCGCCCCCAATCATCTCTAGCCTTTAAATGCCATTTCAATTCCTATCAAGCCAAGGAATCAGCAGCTGCAATTTCAAATACAGCTGCAAAACAATAGACCCCATTAATAGCTGAACTTTTGACAGCACATTCACAGTGATTTATGAGTTTGTATATAATTTGATTATTCTATTAATTCTACTGATTACTGCTGGAGCTAATACAGTGAAGGTCACTCCCTAAAATAAATCTTCATTACATTTCACAGAAAGTAACTGCCTCCAACTGGTTGTTTTCTTTAATTAAAACACTAATGTTACAAGGAAAGAAAGAGGCTTCAGGGTTACTGCATCTTTTGCCACAGGAGGACTATGCTACTGTGATGTGATACTCCTGGACCTGCGTATTTGGGGAGGGGGAATGCAGATGTCTATCTGACATCTTGATTTTTAACTCACCACACACATAAACACACATGCTTTATTTGGATAACAAATAGGTGGCCTGTGGGAATATATATATATATATATATGTATGTGTGTGTGTGTGTGTGTGTGTGTGTATATATATATATATATATATATATATATATATATATCCGTTTTTATAGCAAAGATCTCCAAAACGCTCACAAAAAGCAGCTGAAAGCATCAACTAAGCGCTTTTAATTGTACAAAACACCACACACGCATTATCTAGTTGTAGGCAGATAATTATCTCGTTACAACAACTGTGCATGGTAAGTCATTATTAACTACTATCAACAATATTACAGATACAGGTACTGAGAATGAGGAAGCATCGCATGCCTATGTGCATTCAGCGACTTCATAGCAGAGATTAGATTTGAACTAATGCACATTTCGGATCACAATCACAACACGCATTTAAAGCACTTTTGTAACACTTTAAGAGACAAGGCTTTCCCAAAGAATCCTGGGAACTGTAATTTGCTGAGGGTTCTTAGGAGACCACCCCCCACAGAGCTACAATTCCCAGCACCCTTAACAAACTTCAGTTTCCAGTATTCTTTAGGGGAAGCCATTACTCTTAAAGAGGTACAACAGCGTGTGAAATTTATGGTGCAGATGTGACCATAACCTCTTAGGAACAAAAAAAAAGGAACTAAAGCAAGACAAAGGAAGATCCAGCTACTAATAAAATGCCAATAAAGTTAGCATTAAAAGAAACAAAGTAACTAAATAGAGGTCAGCAAAAGCCTAGGTCTGGGTAGAGAACTTTTTTGCATTGAGGACAACATTTTGTTGGCATAATCTGCTGGGGGCCCACATGCCAACTGCGGATGGGACCCAAAACAGAGGTGGGGAGGCAGTCCATTCCTCACGTCACCTACCCTCTCCTTCAGTGGGGCAACCCAACTCCCACAGAGAACACGTTACGTAAATGAACATCTATTTATGGGTTTTTTATTTTGAAAGTAAGAACATGCAAGTGTTTATAGGTTTGCTGCTGCTGTATTTTACATATGCAAACCGCCGTGATTTATTTTATGCAGTATAATAATAATAGGGGGAAAATAATGCATTTTGTATCCCACTATTGCCTCAAGGAGTATGCAACATTATATCTATTTTATCTTGCCCCACGCAGTGGCGGAGCAAGTTGATCGGGCGCCTGGGATGCCATGCGTGCCCTGCTCCCAGGGGTGGGGCCAGCCAGGGCAGGATGCTCCGCGGGGCCTCTGAGGAGTCTGCTTGCCTCCTCCCACTAAGCCGCCCTACAGCATGGGGCAATATGGAGCCTGCGGGCGCCTAAGCCACCACGTCACTCCCAGGCTCGGATGTATGGCTCGGATGCGCTGCAGGCCCCACAGTGAATGCTGCCCAGCATTTTGTAACCCCCCCCCCCAGTAGTGGGTCCCTGGGCCCACTCTCATATTTATCCCCACAAACCAAGTCAAGAGCCAGTGTGGTGTAGTGGTTAGCGTGTTGGATTGTAACCAAAGAGACTCGGGTTCAAAAACCTTATCATCAGGTGACCCTGGGCTGCTCATTTTCTCTCAGCCCAATCTACCTCATGGGCTGTTTTGAGGATAGGTGGGGCAGAGACCATGTATGCTGCAGAGCTTCTTTGAGGAAGGGAGATATAAATGTTATAAATAAAAAAAAGCCGAGAAATAAGAGCCTGGAGCAAGGTCACCCTGGGAGCTTCAAAGCTGAATAAGGGTTTGAACCTTGCTCCCGCTGGTCCTAGTCCCTTAACCACATGGGCTGTCTTAATTATTGAACTGTCTAGAAGGAATTTCAATGGAGATGCTCTAAACAGTGCAGTTAAGCCTCCTATAGCTTCAATGGGATTTGAGCTGCCCTGCATTCATTTCATGAGCACAAGCGTCATTGAAATCAATAGCACCAACTTCTGCATTTATCCAATATATTCAAAACAAGCATCCAGTTCAGCTCTGAGAGCTTCAACATCTGCAAGCCAGCAGCTATTTCTTAAATGCTAGAATTATTCCAAACAATGTTTTGCGAGAAGGATTTCACTGCTCAACATGAGATCGTGGAGTGCCACACTCACAAAGGACTTTGTATGCTTAGGAGGGCATGTTTCAACACAAAGGTTATTTTCAAATTAAAAGTCTTGTCCTGTCAAAACTTGAGAAATAATATGGGCAAGGACACAAAAGCATTCCATAGCTTTATTAACGACAGCGCTCACTGATCTGTGAATAACCCGAGAAGAAAAAAAAATGAAGATTATTGAGTTACTTTACCAATCTATCCATCCATCACTGGAGAACAGGGCTCAGAAGTGATGGATTATCTCACCTCACTGATGTTTGTCCCAAACTAAGGTTCTCTTCTCAAGGGAGGGGGGCACACCAGCCAACTCCAATCACACCCTGCTATCCACACCCTTATATCTGTCATCAATGCAAAACTAAGAATAGAAAATGCTGAAACCAAACAATTTCTTTTAACGATAAATATGCTGCTTAAAAAAAATGAAAAAGCAATGCAAAGTTCAGAAAGTAGCAAACACAGGAAACCACCTTATGCCATTGTAGACTATTTGTCCATCTAACCCAGTACTGACTACTCTGACTGGCAGCAGCTCTCCAGGCAGAGGTTATGTCCACCTGATCCTTTTAACAGTGGATGTGGGGGACTGAACATGGGACCTTCTGCATGCCAAACATATTCATCTTATCAATGATCTATGACCATCCTTGACATCTTCCATGCACTTAAGCTTCAAACAAGATAGTCTGAGCTTTTTATTCCAAGCTATGAAGCCAGCTATCTCATCTATATTCATTCAAGCTTTTACCACCCAGTCCTACAGGTCTACTTCCTTTAAGATGAGAATGAGAGATAGAGCTGTGTGTCATCACCATACAAGATAACATTTCAGCCCAGAAGTTTCATGCAGATGTTTAAAAAGCATGGGACGCAAGGTAGGACCACATAATAACTGTTGGATGGAGAACTCAGATGTTTCTACTAAAAGCTTTAATGCTCAAATCACAACAATACATAAGCAAAACAGGTATCGAAGGCACAGCAGGTGCAAGACATGCCTAACAAGCTAAACATTGATCCAACGAGTCACACACACACACCCTTGGCTCCTGTTATAAACTAGCAGGACAGGTACTGCTTCAGTGCAGCAAGTGGGACATTTCTTTGGACTGGGCAAGCAAACAGGAATGCCTTTGGGTGGGCTAAACCTGAGTGGTCTCTTTGTAGTGGCATGGATCTCTCCATGTCCTAAGCAATGGAGAAGGTGTCAGTGCCAGCTCAGTCAGACTGATCAGCAGGTGCCTCCTTGGGGACTGGAGGGTCATCCAGGTCATGGGCAAAGAGCAGTGGAGGTGAGGCTGGCCCAGAGTGCCTGGGAGATGGCTTGCTGAATCCCTGCCTGTTGCTCTATCTTTGGGTGGTTCCATTGCTGCCAGTCCCAACCACCTGGCCCCTGGTCACCAATGGGCAACTCCTCCAACCTGTATTTGTTTTATTGCTGATTTGTTAATTACAGAATATGATTTATGCTGTATTTGTGATGTTATTGTTATCTATTGTTTGTAAGCAGCTTCAGTATTCATTTGAATGGAAAGCAGCATAGCAATACAACCAACCAATCAAATCAAAACCATATATCACAGTAGACAGTACTGAAAGCTGCTGATAAATCCAGAAGAATTAACAGGCTCATTCTACCACTGTTGGTCTTCCATTACAAGTTGTTTACTATGGCAACAAACCATAGTTTGATTGAAAGGGAATTGCACTATCCAAGCAGACTTTGAAGCAGAGTTGCTACAATGCTCTTGAGCACCAGAATAGAACATTTAAAACTGGCTGGTAATTACCCAAGTTAGAAGGGGTCCAAAGCTGCTGTTTTGAACAAAAGCAAAAATGAAAGATTATGCACCCGTTATAAAGGATTGAAAGAGTTTTATTTCTGTGACCGAGCATATTTTCACATCATTCTATTAAGAAACCCTAGTCTGGATCCAAAGGTTCTCATCAAAACTCTTTCCAATGGAAGAAGGGAGCCTATGAATCCAACCCACTGATCTTACAAACATCCATTCATCAGAAAGTAATGGTATATTTGTAAAACCATGGTTAAAAGGAAAATCACAAACCCAGTTTCTATTGCATAAATCTCATTCTGATAAGCTCTGAAAACAAAAGTGTGAACCTTGCATATGGAAGTTACATTGTAGCATAAAAAAGAATCCCATTCACTGAGAGCAGTTTCAGAAATAAGGACCAATCTTACTCACTCAAGGGACTACCACAGTTCTAGTGAGCCTTGTAGAGTTTATGCAGAATTCATTCAGAATGGAAGGATATGACTTACAAATGTCTTTGAATCATTCACATAAATATGCATACCTGCCATTTATAACAGTAGCCTTGATGAGAACACACAGGGTAACTGACTGCAAGAAACGCTTAAGAGGGTTACATTAAAACAGAATATGAAGAGGTGGTTAGAAATCACAGGACAAGTGACACCTTATTCTGATAACCTGGCGATAAAAATTGTAGGGTATGATGTATAGGCAGAGATGTTACCACTTGGAAGACTGACTGAACACTAATCCTAGAAGTCTTAGAAATGCTGCTAAGAATTAGCAACACAAGCTGGGGCAAAGGTGGTCCTGTACATAAGAAACAGAATCATTACAAGTTGAAATCTTTAAGGAAGGAAGCGGCTGCCTTCCAAGTTAATTGATCGTGCGCTAAGAGAGCATTTTAAACAAATATTTTTCATTTTTAATGCAAGGCAATTAACCTTCTTACCAGACGCAGCACCAACAGCCTTAAACAGCTGCCAAGAGCCAATCGCTGCTGCCAGTAGTGCCTGGGTCTCCCTTTTCTGGCCTTCCAATAAGTGCCAGGCAGCCACCATTGTGACTGCCTACCATGTCCCTGATGCTATGTCACTCTGGTGCACCATGGGCAATCAGAACCGCAGCAGCCTAGCATTCATTGTAGAAGCACAACTGCTGCCACCCTCCTGGTCCTCTAGTAGGCCTCACCTCACCTACCCTTCATGTCTGGAGGAAAGAAATAGGAGGAGGACAGGGGCTGGCTGGCTGGCTGCCTGCTGACATGAGAGATGCACCAGAGGACCCCCTTCAGCCTAGAGCTACTTGCCCTTCCTCCAAGGAGTTGCCAAATGGCAGTATAGCCTCTCAGCCACTGGAACCTACTTAGTTAAAAAGCAGCTCCATATACTCAGGATCCATATAGCACAACGATTTCTATATTGGCTGGCAGAAGCACTTCAGGCTTTCAGACAAGTCTTTTCCAGCCCTACATGCAGATGCTGGGACTTTGGGCATGCAAAGTTGATGCTCTACCTCTGAGCTGCGCCGCTTTCCCAAAGCACCCTTTAAAATAGGTTAGGCCAGTGATTCTCAAACTTTTCCTCTTAAAAACACACACACCTTTTGTTGTTATGCAAATCAATGAACTTACATAAGTCATATCTTAAATGATTGTAGTCTTGCTGTTCTAATGCAATGGATATGTGTCTGGTTTTGTAGGCAGCATTTGGTGAAGTTTATCTCCATCAGCAGGAAAAAAACCCAACCAAATTCAGAGCAAGGTGTGGGTATTTTCAGCTGTTCCACAACCTTTCTATGAGCCACCTGAGGGCAGCTCAAGGACTGCTAGTGGACCACGGGGCACAGTTTGAGAACCTCTGGACACAAACAGGGATTTCACAAAGGCTACCCATTGACTGTAAGAGACAAGTATCACACATCAAAACATAAGGCTCTCATTCCTGCACCACATAGCAACTTTCTATATTTATGGAGAACCTTCAAAAAGCTGCTTTGAGGCTTGATGGGAGAGTGGTAGGAAAAGAAAATCTTACTGGCAGGAAAGGAAAACACATAGATGGTGGCTGCAAACTGAATTGAGAGACACAAGATGACTTGCAACACCACATTTAACTGCTCCCAAGGGACAGCTCCAAATTAAAGTTTCATATTTTAAAGCTCCAGTTAATGAATTAATAATAGAAAACAATGTACTAGAGCTTTAGGGATTGGATCAGTCCACAGGGGTGCGGGTGTCCCTCATAGGCTATTGTGATGGGGGGGGAGGGGAGGAGCCACAAGCTTAATATACTGTTGCCATCTCAGTTCTTCCACACGATTCACCGCTAAACAAAGGAAGCCCTAAGGAAGCGTTGAATTCTTAAAAGGCTTTATTTTCCATGTACAAACATGTAAACACAGGGAAATGAAAACAGCTAAGTGTCTAAAAGGAATTAAATCAGATTAGTTAGTATTCCCAACAGAATGGCTTTAAAAAAAGAAAAGAAATAAAACATTGCTTACCGGCAAAAGCACTGTGGGATCTCTCCTTGGCCATACAATGGAAACAAGAAGGGAGTGTTTCCGTAACGCCCAAGGCACTGGAGGAACTTCTGAGTCGCCTTCAGGCCATCTATGGTGTAGCAGTCAGCCTCCGAGACCATTGCAATGGAATGCAATATGAAATGCTGCAGATTGGGAGTCAACTTCTGGGTTTTTAAGTAGTCTGAGAATTTAGAGTCCTTGTGACCTGTTTCGGGGAATAAAAGAAAAGTCAAGCATTAGTCGTTCCGGATAATTATTTACAACTACAGCAACAAAACAACAACAACAAAAACCAGCCAGTCAATCTACATACTACAATCACAAAAGGACTGTACTATGTCAGATACTGTGTTAGTCATCTTTTAGGCTTCAGGCATCTCTCCGAACTCTACCAGGCAAGAAACACTCAAACACTAAGCCTAGGGACTGGTTTTGTGTTTTTTCTTTATTGGTTACATTTGTTCCCCACCATTCCTCCAAGGAGTTCAAGGTCATACACACACTTCTTCTCCCTCTCTCCATTTTATCCTCCCAGCAAACCTGCGAAGTAGACTGAAAAACAGGGACTGGCTTAAAGTCACCCAGTGGGCTTCATGACTGAGTGGGGAATTGAAACTTGATCTCTCAGGTCTTAGTCTGACACTAACCATTACACCATACTGGCTCACACTGTTTTGGATACAAGCCCTCCCTACCCGTTTTTTAAAGCACAACAACCAACAACCCCATTTTTGCTGTTCTCTCTTGCCTCAAGAAACAAAATCACCGCTCACAGTTTTGGAACCACATGTATTGCCTGGATTAGAAATGCACTTAGATGGATGCTCTTAGCCCAGAGATGGAAGGAAGACAAAGTTTCCACCAGAAAGGAATGGCAGACCAAACTGATGTGGTGTGGAGATGGTGAAAATGACTGGGAAAATCAGAAACCAGGAAGACCAGAATTTCCACAAAGAATGGGGGAAATTTATAATTTACCTTGGAGACTGTAAATACTTGAACTCTTTAGCAGGATTTGAATAACACTTGTAGTGTAACAAGAACTAGGGATATATGGGATACATAAAAACTGGAGTGACTTACAATATGCAGCAGAAAAAGCACTAGCGACGGAACCCATGGAAGGGTGAGGGAAAGCCCAGAAATTTGGGTAAATCTTTGTTTATTTACCTTTTTATTACTTATTACTTTTATTACTTATAATTTTTAATATAAATTTTAATTTGTAAAACCAAATAAAAAATATTATACAAAGGGGGGGGGATAAATGCTCAGAGCTCCACATGCTCAAAGGCTTCAACATCAACTCAAATGATCAGGAAGGTTCCACACATGCCCCAGAGCGTCCCCCAACAATAAAGTGAATGGAAAGCCTGCACACATGGGGCTTCCTTCAGCACATCAGAGGTAATAGGGAGATCTTGTATAGCATCTGACAGCCAAAAGGTGCAGACATTTAAAGATCAAATGAAAATGCCCAGTGAGATTCTCCTGTTCAACAAATAGGTACAAACCTTGATATTCATCAGGGTGCTGCTCATAATCCAGACAAAATGTAAGAAATTTCATCAGCATTCTTTTTTCCACCATGGTCAACTGTTTGCTGTTGAAGACGTCAGCTCTAGAACATGGAACCTGAAATATAATTTGGAGGTTCATTTTCCACCATTCCAAACACAGTCAGGGCCAGGAAATGATCTATGTCACAGAACTGGAAAAATCTGTAACTTTTTAAAAAACCATTATCTTTTAGTATTAATTTTAAAACGGGATTTTTCTGTGTGAAAAATGTAACCTCTTGCAAACATCATGGTTAGATAACTCAACCATGCTTAAGAGGAGGTCTGGAGTGGGCTGTGGGATTCTGCACTCTCTTCCTTGGCCCCATGCCTTGCAGGCACAAATACCTCCTGCCCTCTCAGAACCATGGCTTGTTCCTCAAAATTTAAATGCTGATTAAGAGGCAATCTTGGTTTAATATTAGTCATAGTTACATAGGGAGAGGGAAGGGAGGGAATGTGTGATCCCACAGCCCAATTGCTTAGCCATGGTAAAGGAGAATGGGGACATTACATTTACACCTGCCTTATGAGTCACGCCTTCTAACAGTCATTATACACTGGCGTAGCCAATTCAGAGTATTCTGAAGAATATCAGCATGGATCACAACCTACCTTCCTTCCAGAGGGAAAATGCCTGATTTTATGAATCAAAAAAGAGCTATTTCAACAAGTTTAAGGATTGTCTTTTGAGCAATCACTCAACTTTTGAGAAATCTCTTGCAGCTCTTTCCTAGTCCTATAAACTTGTGTTCAGATCAAAGCAAACTTCCTGTCTTTTCTGCCCAAGGGCACCATGATGTCTGCAAAAACTCATGTTTGCCGCCTCTTAGACTTCTCTTCTCCCATATAAAAGGTAAAGGTAAAGATACCCCAGACCCAAAGGCCAGTCGTGTCCGACTCTAGGGTTGTGCACTCATCTCACTCTAGAGGCCGGGAGCCGGCGCCGTCCGAGGACACTTCCGGGTCACGTGGCCAGCGTAACAAAGCTGCTCTGGCGAACCTGCACCAGTGCAGCACACTGAAAAGCCATTTACCTTCCCGCTATAAAGCGGTACCTATTTATCTACTTGCACTTAAGGGTGCTTTCGAACTGCTAGGTGGGCAGGAGATGGGACCTAATGATGGGAGCTCACCCCGCCGCGGGGATTCGAACCACCAACCATATGATCGGCAAGTCCTAGGCACTGCGGTTTTACCCACAGCGCCACCCGCGTCCCTTTCTCCCATATAATAAGCCACTAATATGCTATTCTTCTAGACAAACACTTGATGTTGTTTAATGTGATGGTCTTACATTTTAAACAACCTTTAATGCTGGGCAATTGTGTCCTTCAAGGACCTCGCCTCTTGTCCTCACAAAAACTATAATGATTTTGGTTTATATGATTTTCCGGTCAGCATCCGGTTGACTGCAGAGTTATATTAGAAGGCATTTTCTTTCTTAGTTCTTCACCTCCTTCCCAACTGAATGCAAATAATGAATTTGGAAATCTGTTGCTAATATTAGCTTTATTATATCAACAGTCAACTGGTGAGAACGGGAGATTTGGAGCACCAATCAAATTAATTCTCTTTTTTCAATTCCTTAACATATTCCCAAACCTCAGGTACATGTGCTCCCTCCTCTAGCCTTCTCTACTCCAGTTCCCTTCCCAACTCCTTTTGCTGGGCAAACCATTATTATCTGAATTGGTAAATTTTTAGTTTGCACTTGCCCTCCAAACCAAAACTACAAGGCCATTTAAAACCATAGTTTCCAACTATGGAATGTACAAGGGGAAGAGAGAGGGTAGAGGGGAAACAGTGTGTGTGAGCTTTAAACTGTGATCCCAGGCCTGCATCAGCAGTTGGTATCACTAGGAATGTGCCAAAACCCATGCTTCTACTGAGGGCACACTGCCAACTCCAGGTGCCTCCTGGCTCCACTTCTCTCTCTTCCTTACTGCCATTGGGCATGCAAGCAGTGATAAGAGGGGAGGAATGTGGATACAGCATGGACCTTCACTTGACTTGTACACTTCCTCTGGGAAGTTGTGAAGATTGGAACCAGAGGGAGAAGGCAAGTGAGTGGGTAGCAGTGACAGTGGTGAGGAGTAGATGGGCCCATTCAGAAAGGGGTTCCCAATGACAGCATCTTACTCAAGGCACTTCAAAACATGCAGCTGTTCCTGCTTAGACGAACCAGATCAGGGTCTGGTCATTATATCCAAACCAGTCCAAGAATGAAAGAACATACAGTATAGCAGAGAAAGTGGTAGAGTGAAAGGATTTATAGCTACATAAAAACTTATGTTAGTCAAATTTGCACTTTCAAATGAATTACAAGCTCAACTTTTGCAATTAGGTCCATTACAGTACCTGTTCCACTCTGCCTTCTCGAAATGCAAGAATCCGGGTGACATTTTTGAACTCAGCATAGCGACTAACATTTGACTTAATTAGGAGGTCAATCAACAATCCTCGGGAGTACAGTAACTGCACAAAAGAAAACATATATATTTGAAGACAATCTTAATTTTAATTATCTGCTTTCTAGCATTGTTGAAGAGGAACACACTGTCAAGGCCCCACATTTTTGCAAATTAAAAGGGTCATTTATATGATAACAGTGGGAGTACTACTTCTGTATCTTAAGCCTTTGAATAACAGTAGTAAATGCTGCCAGAGCAATAGCCAAAGTGGGACAAGTGAAAAACAAAAGGGAAATGCCAGCATGCTTGGGGGAACCTTGAGATTTCCCCCTTTATTCTTGAAAAAGTAGAAGGAACAAACCGCCACTACCCTGCAAAAACAAAATAAAACTGCCCAATGAGAATGAAACAACCACCTAATGCAGGTGTAAAAGTAAAAGAGTACAAGGAGGAGGAGATGAAATGCCCTGCTTTAAGAGAATGGTTGGCTAGAACAGCAGCATCACTTTCAGGAAGGAGGATACACAACAACATTTTGTTGCAGTTGGAATTTGTCTATATACTAACACTATATACAACAAAATTTTCAGCTTCAGTGTGGGTGTGAAGCTATTAGCAGGGTCATGCCTACTTGGTTCAGGACTTCAATTAAAAGGGACATACTCTTCCAGATTTGGTGGAGGGGAATAAGGATGCTCCCCTACACTCCATAACTCTATGGGCAATAACTGCTGCATATTTGACTTTACCTTACTGAAAAGTTCGCTCCTATGCTCACTTGAAGCAGAGCCAGAGGCTTCAAGCTGAAGAAAAGATGGAGAATAAAGGTAAAATGCAAAGAGTTGAAACCTGGAAGGGCTGCTTCCAATTTTTCTACGAGTGCCCAAGTAAGTGGGAGAATCATGCTTTTCAAATTTCCAGGCCATACCTGAAGAGGGAGGGGAGAATCTACTACAGACTAAATCCAGGAGGAGAAGGAGGAGACACATAATTCACACATTCTCTCACACATAGTTTCTGGCTGCTTTGACTGTTGTCCAGAAGCAGAGAAAGAGAGATGAAGGATAGGTTCTTGCTGAAATAGTCAAGAGAAAAACCTTGGGGAAGTCAGAGAAGAGGCACAAATCCTTTCATGCAATCTTGGCAAAAGAAGTCATCTATATCAGGGATAGTCATCATGAATTCTCATCATCCTTGATCCCCGGCCATGCTGGCTAGGAATGATGCAAATTGCGATCTAACGGGTAGAGGGTACCACAATGACTATACTTGTTTTATATAGTGAGTTACTGGGTATCCAGACACATGAACTAGGGTCCAAATGGTTTACTCCCACCAATATGTGAGTTTCAAGCACTTTCAGGGGTGCAGTATTTACTTTGGGCTGCCTCATGGAGCGATGCTTCAAAAGGCCACCTTAATCTGCAGAGGAAGGGCAGTTTTGCGGTGAGCTAAAGAGCCTCTGTGCATAAACAAAACAGTAAATGCAGAGAATGTGATCCCAGCCAAAGAACTGAAAAGAGCAGAAGAAAGGATGCAGTCAGGCTGCAAGCCATCTGGTAATCAGAAATAAAGGGAGGCAGCAACCAATGCCAGTTTGGTCTACCTGGAGGTGAGGACAATGAGAGAACAAGATGTTGAACTAGATGGGGATTTGGCCTGATTCACCAGGGCTTTTCCTATACAGTATTCTTATCCTTAGGAACTAAACTTCCTGGAACACAGGGTGCTTCCAACCAATCTGTTTATAGAGCATTCATCCTGATTTATTTGCAGGGAGATCAGATGACATTGGCTATTTAATGAGCATTCATTTCAAATTATTTGCGTGGAGGTTAGGTGGAGCTGCATTAAAGCAAGTGTAATCCCAGGGCATTTTCTTTTCACTTTCCTTAAAGCATAAAATCTGATTATTTGGGGAAGTAGGTTTGTTGCCCAAGAGTGTGAAATCAACTGAACAAACTGAATTTTGCCAGGATGCAACTGAATCACACCCCAAAATACTGACAGTCAGAAAGTGCCCTAGGTTTGATAAATAAAAATAGAGAATCTTATGGGAGTTCTCCAAAAGCTATCCATGCCATCAAGAAATAGCTGGAGATCGGAAGACACAAGATCTACCCACTTTGGAAGAATGGCAGATGAAGGTGATTGACTACATGGAATTGGCGGAAATGACCGGCAGAATCCGAGACCAGGGAGAAGAATCGGTGAAAGAAGACTGGAAAAAATTTAAGGACTATTTACAGAAATATTGCAAAATTAAGGAACTTTAGAAGGATGTTGGATAGAAACTAAGAGGTTTTTAGCTGTAATGCTTTAAGAGATATGGGGGGAAAAAAAGGTTAACAATTGGGTAAAAGATTAATGGTAAGGATTTGCTGAACCAACAAATGGAACTGGAATACAAAGAAGGGAGGTATGAGGAGGTCCGGGGAAATAAGAGTAAGGAAGATAGGTTATGGAACATTATTGTGTTTTTAACTGTTTTATTTTGTATGTTTTTTCTTATTTTCTACTTTTTTGCTGTACTTTATACTTTTTTCTTTGTCTTGTGTATTTTTGTGAAACTTTAATAAATATCATTATAAAAAAAAAAAGAAATAGCTGGAGATCTTCTTCCCATTTCTACTGCATAACATACTTGCCAGTTTTTGGAGGTTTCAAACTTGTACATTCTGGTTGCACTTACGCAATGCATTAGCTTTTATCGACCTGTACAAAACCTCTTTGGCTCCTCCCTTTGTGCAAGCAGGGAAAACAAACTAAGAGGTTGCAATGTGTCCTGTTATGTGTCAATTGGTAACTATGGTTAATGGCTTCCAAACCAGCCAGGTTTTGCAGGAAAATATAGTTCACACCTTTCCCCCCTCCTCTCCTGCAGCCAAGGGGGGAAATCGCTTGTTTTGATGTTAGGATTGTAGTCCTTTAATCGACTTTCCAGGTTTTAGCTTACAACTTCTTTGCTTTACTCTATTTACAAAGAACGGAAGGCGGACTTCCTGTTTATGCCTCCCCGCTCGGAGCCGAATTTAAGTCTTCATTTTCCTTTATTTCCGAATTTAACCTACTCACGGGTAGTTGTTTTTGTAGCCAGATTGTCACAGGAAAAGGTCAGCGCTCTCCGGTAACGGCTGTGCGGCTTCGCTCCACGGAAGAAGCAGTTGACTCTTAGCACCGCGCCACTTGCCCCGCTTCGCTCCGGAGCCCGTAATTGGGTTCCTTTACAAGTTGGGGGGGCGCAAAAGGTGCCCGCCGAGTCCCACGGTCACAGGCTTCACCCGCCTGTAATTTTTTAAAGGGTCCCCGCCTCGCCGTAGCGGAAAGACCCGATTTCCGTAGAGCCAGTCCCTCCGGATCAGAGGGAGTCCGCCATTACCGATGGCGCCACCCCGGAAGTCCTTGCAGGAAAATATAGTTCCCCTGGTTGTGCTAAGTGGGTGGGTGGGCAAGTAAAGTGATTCCATGCAGGTTCATGAAGCTCATGCCATTATTTCCATGCATTCTTTATACATTTTCTCTCCCTCAATTTCCATCTTTTTGAGGCTTAAACTACTGTCCTCATTTCCTCAATATCCCAGCAAGCAGTGTGCTCACAACGGTTACAAGTTAAAACCATAAAACTTAATCTTCTAATACCTTTGCTCACTTTATATAAGCTAAAAATTTATTACACATTCTGGGAAGGACATGAATGTAAAAAACCACAGTGTAAGATGGATGACTTAACTTTTTTAAAAAGAAGAAGCAATGCTCCACTGAAGAAAGTTACTTATGCAATGCCATCACTCTCAAAGTCTCGAGGAGAGAACTTTGTAAGGCCTAGCAAGAGACGTGGGAGGTTGGTTGCCTGATTAGAACGAAATCCAAAGGAAGCTCACAGGGGCACAATAGGGCAAAACAGGCCAGAGTTGCAGAATCTGGGAGAGCTCTGACTGAGTGACTTAATTTGCCAGCAAACCCCCACAGATACAACAGGTGGAATGTGGGGGGGCATAAGAAGCTGCCTTATACCAGCTCAGACCATTGGTACATCTAGCTCAGTATTGTCTGGAATGGGCAGCAGTGGTTCTCCAGGCGATGCTGAGGAATGAACTTGGGACTTTCTCCTACCATGCAAAGCAGATGCTCTACCACTGAGCTATAGGGGCAGTGTGGGGACTGTTTGGGAAACTCAAATCCAATGTAATCTGGAAGCCACAGGCCTAGTTTTGGGACTTTTTGGACCCTGTCTCTGTTTAGCACCGCCGCAAGTACTATGTCTGCAACTTCACATGACATCATAAGGCAAAAATAATGACTATCATTAAGCATGTGTACCAAATCATAACATCTGATTCTCCCCAATGGTTCATCCTGCAATAATATTTCTCGCAGCAAGGTAGAAGAGAGTTAGAATAGTACAAAAGCACAGTAGAAGTTGTTTTTTGTTTTCTGGAATTACCGTTTCTTAAAAAGCACATAGCTTTCAGAGAACATGTAGTACGGTTCTCCCTACAAAAACCCAAATCCCTGATCAGCAGACCAACATTCCTAAAGTAAAAGGTGCAAGAAGTGTCTTGTTTTGAGACCCAATATGTTTGTTCTATCCCAAAAGCAAAGCGTGCTTTTAGCAGATACTTTAGCTTTCGTTCATTTTTTTTAAGAGAGCATGTGTGTCTATTTAAAACCCCCACAAAATGTTATTTTATAAAGTGACCTATTTTCTTTAGAGCAGAATACTAGGTCCCAGTATCATCATAATTATTTTGCATTGCCTGTGAAGTTTCCAAAGGAATATTTTCAATGAAGCAAACATAGGGTGCAGGGTTAATAAAGAAAACATAGGCAATGAGTTCCCTACCTTAGAAATTAAATCAATATTAAATCGTCTTCCTTCTTTAACAATTTGGGAATAAGTAATTTTCCTTGGTTCAGCTGCAGCTTCCACTATTGATGCAGCTTCGTTATTTTCCACTTCCTGTACTGATTGACCGGGCGTTACATTGTCACAGGGTTTCTCCCCCAGAGAGGTCACTTCAACAGCTTCGCGGTCAGCTGTACATTCCGGTTCAATTCCTGCAGCACTGTCAGGGAATGTTTCTTCATCTTTGGTCCCCGATGGCCGATCCTCCAAAGGAAAGCACTTTTCCTCAGCCTCTGGGGTGCCAGAGACTTCCTCTATAACCTCACTAGAAGCAGAAGCAACAGAGGCAGGGGCCTTCAGAAGTGCACCAGCTTCTTCCACATCTTCAGCTAGATCCTGACTGATTTTTCAAGGGGAGAGAGAGGGAGAGAACAGATGAAAATCAGTCCCCAAAGCTATCTTGCAACTTTCTGGGTACAACAGCTATTTCAACCAACTGATCGAAACATTATAAGAGCCATGTCTGCTTTGCCTAGTCAACACAGATACACAAGACAAGACATACAATCTCCTCTATTTCTAACATTCAGAGTGCGAGTGTCATTGCTTATGTTACCGAAACAGCACAACCGATTAAGATAGTGGTAGCAATCAGTTTGGAGAAAGCCCCCAGCAGTATGAAAAATAGACCCACTAGGATAAAACATGCTCATTGGCTAAAAAGGATACTGACTGTTGTTGGGCAGAAGGGACAGAAGACGACAGTGATGGTGTAATGGAGCAAAGCGGCTGGAGTTCTGAATAGCAGCATTCCACAATGCAATATTTTGTTACAAGTCCCAAATAACAGTGTGAACAGGGTGCATGTGCACAGGTCTCACCCCCAGCCACTGATTGGCTGAACTGCTGTGATGTAATAGAATGTTCACAAAGGGTTCAGTGGGGAGGTGCCAGCAACAAAATGTTAACAAATACAATACAGCTTTGCTGAGGGAAGTGAATGACCAGCTTGGATGGAAGAATATCACGCCACAGGGACTGTGGATAAAAGGCCCTGTGCATCATGGATTGTGCGCAAAGCCATAATTAAAAGTGGCTTATGTGTACATGCGCGCACACACATATATGGAAACAAAATCTTCATCTTTATTACCGATCCACCCATGGCCTTTAATGAAACATAATGAAGGCATGCTTTAAATCTTACTGCTGTGACCATTAATCTTGTGGCTGCCTATCATGATAAAGGTAAGGAGGTCAAAAGAGCAAGGTCAGCAGATGCAACAAGTCTTTGGCATCCTCCTTTCTTCCTTAATGGCAAAATCCTTAACATTCTCCTTCTAAGGCCACACTCCACATTTCAAGCTCATTTTCCTTTTTAATCTTCAACTTCAATGAAGTCTACCTCAGCAACTAGCACTTTTGAACTTGGGATTTCAGTTTAGGCTACCAGCAGAGATGAATCAAATCAGTGTCATTATTAGTGGGGGGCGGGAGAGGAAGAGTTCAGCAACCATTTTGCATTATCTTTTTATCTCAACCACTTAGCCATTAATCCTCCAAGTAAATGTTTTAAGCCTAGCCGTCAACAAATGAACTGCAATCTGAAAGGTGATCTGAAATGATACAGCAGTAAAACTTCAGTACTTATCAATAAAAGGCAGAGTTTCCCCAGTTGCCAGAGGTAAAAGCTATTTAATTTTTTAGGTCTTCTTATGTCTATCTCTGATCTAATTAGCAGCCACACTAGTTTTTTTGCAAGAGAAGCCCCTGAGTGAGCTGGGCCGAAATAAAACTCATCACATCCCTCGGCCCAGGTCAGCTTTATGGGCTTCACCTAAATGTATTATTTCAGAAATATTGTTGCCAGTAACAATGTATTTTCAACTCAGGGCTGAGGGGTTAGGCTACAAGCGACAGGCAGGGTTTTTGTCATATATATTTTTAACACAGCTGCAGGGATAAGGGTGGGCTGCAAACTGAATTGGGAAAACAATACTAGGTGAGAAATATTTTTATCCTCTCTACATTTTCCACGATTAAAATCATTCCTCCCCTGAAAGCTGCCATTGGCCCTAAGAGGGGAGGGGCAAGGGGAGGAAAAGGAAGAGACAGAGGCTGTTCTCAGAACGCCTCCCTGGCTTCTTTGGAGTTTATCCTCAAAACTTACAGTTTCCAGGAAGCCTATGGAACAACCTCCTACTCCCAACTACAGATATGGGAGTTTGGTTCTCATTTTAATGCAAACTGACCAAATTATCACTTTCTAAAACAATATGTGAACACAGCTACATTCAGAAGTACATTAGCTGCAGCTTTTAAACCTGCTGACAGTGTGACTATTCAAGGATTCCCAGCAACCTTATGACAACAACCAAAATATTTTTGTATAAAACTTAATTCTTCAACAGAACTGTGGCTATAAAAACCGAGCTCGGGGGGGCGGGAGAGACACCCAAGTTTAAATCTTATGTGCAGATGGAGGTTTGTTTGTTTGTTTGTTTAAACCTGTAATACTAATTCACAAGGATACATGTGCAGCACAAATTGTGGTGTAAATTCTGAACATTATCTAGCGTCATTCATTAATTAATGGTACTAACAAAAGAATCTCTCAAAGCCAACGTGTCTTATTAATGCCTCGTAACAGCCACCCCTTCCGATAGGTCAAAAGAAAAATTGCCAACCAGCTGGTTAATTTATGCAGCACAGGTGTTCACTATTTATTTTTCAACCATTTGCCTTTTTTTCAATACCGCTTGTTGCGGAGATGGTTTTCTTCCACTTTGATGGATGCACTTTGTTCTGTGGCCATTCATTTCGGCTTTGTGCACTATATTACCACTGCAACCCAGCTGTTTTTATTCTTTCAAAATAAATGTTTAATGGCAACTTCATAGGAGTTCAGGGAAATTAAGCAACAATGGCAAAAACTAACCGAAGCATGTAAACCGTCAGAACTGCTGTGATCAGCTCTCTCTCTCGAACATTAAGTTATTAAAAGGAAGAGGGTTTTTTATTTCCAATTTTAATTTTTTAGATACATAACATAAAATCAAATAACACTTATTCAAGACAAAGAGCCTGTTCTGATGTAACAGGCAAACTGTCTTCAGTGCTGGTCTGCATGCCTTGGATATGGTTTGCTTAAACCAGGAAGTGAGTGAATTGGTTCACATGTAACACTAAGCCAAACCATTCTTTAGCATGGATGCACAAGGGTTCCCAGAGAGGAATTGTGCTCTTCCTCTGGCCTTCTTGCAGGTGTGCTGCCATGAGCTATGCTACAGTTTGGTTAAGTGCATTATCCAAACTCAATGTATGCCTCCAGGAAAAACCCACAAACTATAAACCCAAGAATACATCTTGGTTCTAGCTTGTGGTTTACCAGAAGCAAGACACTCTGTCAGCCAAATTCTGGACACAATACGAAGCCAAACAACGAGTCTAAAGGATTTACAGGATTTCACTGTTCACTTCTGAGTCCAGTTCAAGGTGTTTCAGATCCAAATACCTGAAGGATCTCCTCTCCCTATCAAAGCCTGCCTGTACTTTGAGATCTTCTGGGGAGGCTCTTTTCCACACTCCACTACTGAAGGAAGCTTGTCAAGCAGTGGAATGAGACAGCCTTATCTATAGTGATGCCCCAATTACAGAATGCCCTACACTCACAAACATGCCAGACACACAGAAATTGCCTTCATTCCAACACCAGGTTAAAGCTTCTTTGTTTGCCCAGGAATTGTAAGCTGATATTGTTTAGCCTGCAATTACATTTTTAGCTGTTTCTTTTTAAGGGTGTGTTTTATTGTTGGACATTTTATGATTTTATTTATGTTCTGCAACCCACTTTGGTATCTGTATAGATGAAGGATATGCTACAACTATTCTAAATAAAATAAAACAAACTGCTTGTGGCATCTCTGAAGCCAGCTGTGGCCACAGCAGTGAGCCCCAAACCTTCCTTTAGCGGGTCTAAGTTGGGGGAGCAAGCTCACACAGCTGGCCCATTGGCTTCCCTGTTCAAAATGTGCCTCCACATACACCATTTATGTGCAGGACAGGAAGCACTCACCTGGCATAGCAGAAATCTTCAACATGCTGAATGGTTTGGTCTGCCTTGTTCAGAGGAATACCTTCTTCGTTTTCAAGGATCAGTTCTTCCCAGCGGGTGTTTCCCTCACAGGGGTCAGCCATTTTCTTTCAAGAATATGCAAAAAAGAACAGAAGTATTTCATTAAACTTTTTTAAAAAATGAGTAAATGATGTTTTGGCTTTATTTAAATGTTAAGAAGTTGGAGAAATAAATATTTAATTCACTTTCTTTAGCAGTGTGAGGAGCAGGGGTTATACCAGACCCCTTCCATACACTGAATTTTTCCAGTCTATGTATCCTGCAGGTGTGGGTGGGTGTGGTTATGAAATGAGAGTTCGAAGTAAACAGATCTGGAAGGTTCCTATGTTCATACTGTAGTTTTAAAAAGAAGCTGCAGAGGACTGTAAATGAGATTCTGGGCAGCAATAGAATCTTAACACCAAAATGTTTATTGAAATATCTGAAAGGCACAATAAACAAGGAAAACTTGGAAGTTGCAACAGCAATGATTACTGCAGCCAGACTAGTCACAGCAAGAAATTGGAAATCAGATATAGCAGGTGACATTTTGCAAGGATATAAAAACATATGGGATATAGCATGGTTGATAAAACCTACATATTCTAAAATAGATATTGAATGATTTTTTTTCTGAAGTTTTTAACCAAAAGGCTGAATATTTAGCACGATACAAAATCACTACTGCTTACCTGGTTCTCTTTTATCCAAGACAATAATCCAGAGAAACTAAAACTTGCCCAGTTTCCTCCATAGTATTGTCTTCTATTGTGGAGATGGGGGAGGGGGAGGGGGAGAGAAAAGAAAAAAAGAATAGCTAATGGAGTAAGCTTTCATTTTTGCAAAGATTCTATTGCAATTATTTAAACATAATTTACAAACTGCTTAGTATTTTTTAAAAAACCTCTTTGCAGTGAACAACAGAAAAAAATGAATATCATTAAAGCAAATATACAATGCAGAGTCAGTAAAAGTAGTAGTATAAAAGCACATAAAAACAGGAAATAAACACAGGGTCTGATCTTATGGTTCACAGGCAAAATGAAGTGAGTAAGTTCTGCTACCGAAATGGCTTCCATGTGTATACAGGAACAGAAGAGGTTAAAAGAAAAGCAAAAACACACCATAGCAATCCCAAATAAGCAAAGTGTACAGTTTCTACTTAATATACATGTAACATTGGTAGAATTTTGGGCTGCATGTTTTTTGAGTGTGGGGGTGACTTTTTGTTTCTGCTTTTAATAAAACCCATACACTCTGAAAATACATTTGCATTTTTCCACCTTAAAAATGATACCCCCCAAAAAAGAGAGTCAATTGTAGAACAAAAGAATAAGATATGATATTCCTAGCACTTCTGTGCATAGCCACTGTCAAGTGCCTCTGCATGATTCAAGAACAGCAGCACCATCAAAGGCTGCTCTTTAGTTGAGAAAATAGAAGGGCCAGGTTTTCTTCCAACTCTTAATTTAGTTTCTGTCATTAGCATATACCTAATCTGCAGAAGGCTGAAAGCCCCTGGTCATCTGGAGGGAAAGGGCCACTACAGAAAAACATGGGCACTGTGGCTTCTAAATTTTCAACAGAGCCTCTTGAAGCAACTCAGACTAGGTTGGCTACAAACAGCTTTTTTGTCCCCATTTAACAATAAAAACACAGGTTGCAAGAAGAAATGTTGAGTTATATGACCCGATAAAAGGATTAAGTGTGCATCAAATTAAGTGTACATTTGTGTGCTGTGCAAAATGTACTCAGCTTGCCACAGAGAAGCACAAGGAGTTACAGAGGGCACTAAAGGGTTACCCCAATCCAAGCTCACAGGAAATCCCACTTAGCATATGCATGCACATATTTAAAGTACATTTAATGCACATGGCTTCCCCCCAAAATCATGGGAACTATCGTTTAAGGGAGCTGAGAACTGTGGCTCTGTGAAGGGTAAACCACAGTTCCCTGGATTATTTGGGGAAAGAGAGGATGGAAGCATGCAAGCCCAAATCTTGTGCATGCTTGCTTCTATAATGTGAACCATGGTTTAGTGTTACATCTGAAGCACGCTTCTGTCTGACAGAGACAGGAGACCTTCATAACTGTGTGGTCAAAAGAACTGTGTCACTGATGCAAATTTAACAGTAGACTTGCAAGAGGGGGCAAGAACAGTTCTTTTGTAAATGTCAATTAGGAAAGTTACACCTCTCGATGCTGTAATAGTCCTGAAAAAACAAATCAAGGCTGCTGATGCCTGAGAAGAAGTTGCTGTTGCTTTATGATTTCTCCAGAGAGCGGCCTGCATTTGTCTCTCCCCTGTTTGATCTCTGGAGTGTGTGTGCATGTCTCCTGTCACCTTAATAAGCTGTCTCTTGTTACTGACCCGGTCAAACAGATTTTAAGGCAAGATTGTAAAAGGACTTCTGGGCCTAATCCTAAATTTCAACTAATCACTTGGCTGAAGCACTTATTAGATAGGGCTATAGGGAGCCTGTGGCCCTTCTGCTGTTGTTGGACTACAATTCCCATCAGTCCTGGTCATAGGCCATGCTGGCTGATGGGATTTGGAGTTCAACAAGATCTGAAGGGCAGACGATTGCCATCGCATCCCAAAATGGTATGAGGGCTAGTCAGCTTCTTTGTACACCTCATACTTTTCTTTAAACTTTTCGTATCACTGAAAAAAAAGAAAGAAACAATGAATTACTAACGTTTGATCGTTTTCATACATCAGCAGCAGAACAGGGTCAGCTTTAGTGTAAAAACAACCTGTTGGACCATTGTGGCCACTGAGGAAAAGATCAGGTGCTTCTGGCAAGCTCACCACCAACCTCCTCAGCTTTTCCATACACACACACGAGGGAAGAGGAAATTCAAGGCCAAATGGAGGTTCCATGTAGCTGTCATAGTCAACAGATGCTGATAAATACTAGGAAGACAGATCTATCTAACCCCCTCTCCCCTTTAATGCCATCTAAGTTAATGTGGCAGTGAAGTAAGAATAAGTAAGAATAAATGTGTGCCCAAAAAGCCATTTTGTGATTGCTTCTACTCAAAAAGGGCAAGATCAGAAATTTGGAACAGGATGAGCTTTTCTAGTATTTGGTCTACATGACCCACATATGGCTTTTGCCATGTAGATCAGGATGATCATACATCAGAGCTGATTTTATGGATTATCCCTGCCCAACAAATGAGAAAATAAAGTTTGAGCCTCCCACAAAGATAACTAGGTGGATTTGCATGGCATGGTGGCTATTCGGGTAAACACCCTCATATGTTACAACCGGTACACTACCACAACAATGAATCGAAAATAAAAATATTAAAAAGAGGGACTTTCCTTCCAAGAATGAGGGATAAATTTGGCTTGGAACTATTCTGTTATATCTAGTATTTCACTAAGGCACCTATACTGAGGTTTTGGTAATACCCAAACTTACTTTTATGTCAAATGGTTTAACTGATTAAAAAAGCAAAGTGAGACAGCTGCCTATTCCTGCATTGCAGGGAATTTGGACTAGAAGATCCTCAGGGTCCCTTCCAACTCCAGAATTCCATGATTCTATGAATGTAACAAGTAACCTGACTAGAGAGCAGTGAAGGTAAGTGGGGAGGATCCATCTATTCCCACCTGCCCCCAGTTTTCCAACTAGATTTAGGTAAGTGTATAAAGGGTTGGAGCCAAAGCAATTTTTACTTTGTGGTTACAAACCTTTGTGCACTTAGCTGGGAGTAAGCTCCACTAAACAAAGCGTGCAATATTTTGCAGACTGCTATGTAAATTTCATAAATATGCCAAACAGGACAATTTTATATGCCAACTAAGGTATGAAGAAACCATTTTATGTTGTCAAAGCAGTAATAAGTTTAAGTTTGATAAGAAAGAAAGTGTTGCATATGTTTATATTTTCCCCAAAATCTCCAGCGCCCCCACAAAAAGAACTAGGAAGAAATCCCCCACCCTAAGCTTCAAATTTTCTGGAGGTTTTACATCCCTAGTTCAACAGCTTATTTCTTTGTACTGTGACAAAATGATTAGACTCATAAACCAAATTTTACTGTCAGACACGAAATAGACAACCTGAAGAAATATGCTGCCTTCCCTTTGCTTTGGTTATTCCACCAATGCATCCAGAATTTACGAACAAGAGCAAAGTCCCCTAAAACAAGAACATTTGGGGGAGGGGGAGGGGAGGGGAGGAGGGAGGTCACTAGGAAGAAAGATCTTCATGCATAAACAAATCGCTTTCACAACTGCATTCAATTCTCAACTTTCACAACTTCAAATTTAAAGTCAATGCCAAGTCTCACGTTCCGAATTGCAAATTACTTTTCTAAATCACTTAGCATCTATCCTTGAAATTTCACACGTCAACAGCTCATTAATATCTACAGTAAATGTAGCTCTCTGAAAAAGAACCACATTTTTTTTTCAAAAACATTTTATTGAGACGGATAGCTAGCACCCAGAAATAGAGCCCCCTTCAATTACAATTTGGCAGAAGCTAACTTTGGTTTTAAAACATGACTACCGGAATTTATGGCCAGGCTGCAATGGCAGTGACTATTTTGAATAAGATTAGCTGTTCTTGATGGGGGATGCTTGGGCAGTGTTTATAAATCAACAGAGGTGCTACTCAGTGGTTTATAATGGTCCACTTCAGACCATCTACCATCATCACATAAGCGGTATATTATGATAAACGCAAAACAGTGGCAGGAGATTAAAAGTAATAAGATCCACCCAGGGTAATGAATCCAGGCAGCACTGGCACACAAAGTACTTCAAAAGTTTCATTTGACTCACAGCTTCTCGCTGCCCCCCTCCCATTATGCTTTCTATCTAACTCCTATCAGAAAGGAGAGATTTAAAGTTTACACAGCATAGCGAGGATCAGATTTACAAGTGGGACCAATATTCCATTCCTCCTTCTCGTATGCCATAACACCCAAGAATATTGTTTAGGATTTATGGATTTAAATTTTGAGGAGCAAATCCAACTGGTAGTTTTCATCTTTTATTTCTCCAAATTTTAGTTTTATTTATTGATGGAGGCCTATCCCTGTCTTGCAATCGCTCTTAGAAGCAACAGGTAGCTGTCCAGCCAGTATAAATGAAAGTGGGAAATGTGTTTTATGCCATTTGATCTGGAAGGACTCAAAACACATAGCTACTGTAACGGGAGGGGGAAACATCCCATTGTAAGCTGCATTTCAATAGAAGATTAGAATTATTAGATACGTTTTACTTACTCAAAGTGTTCAGACAGTGCTTTAGACAGTTGACAATTCTTAATACATTTTTCCAAGTCCATTTCTCATTTACCAGGAGATTGGAAAACCACTTGTTCTGGATAGGGTTGCACTCCCTCTGAAGCAGCAAGAGTGTAGCTTGGGGGGGGGGGGATACTCCTGGATACATCTTTGTCATTAGAGGCCCAAGTACCCTCTGTGGGTATGAGTGCATTTTACCAACTTAGCCTGGTTCACTAGCTGTGACCATTCCTGGACAGGGATAGCCTGATCATTGTAGTTCGTGCGGTGGTAACCTCAAAGTTGGATTGCTGCAATGCACTTTACATGGGGCTGCCCTTCGGCCTGGTTTGAAAGCTCCAGCTGGAGCAGAATGTAGCATATGGATTTCTGATGGGGGTATCTGGCAAACAACATGTGACACTATTGTTAAAGCATCTGCACTGGCTGCCCATCTACTACTCAGCCAGCTTCAAGTTCCTTGTATCAATTTACAAAGCCCTGAACAAGTTATGCCTGAATCCTTATATCCCAGCTCAATCAAGGGATACGGGTGGCGCTGTGGTCCAAACCACTAAGCCTCTTGGACTTGCTGATCAGAAAGTTGGCAGTTTGAATCTACGCGATGGGGTGAGCTCTCATTGCTCTGTCCCAGCTCCTGCCAACCTAGCAGTTTGAAAGCGCACCAGTGCAAGTAGATAAAAAGATACAACTGGAGTGGGAAATGGTGTTTCCATGCACTCTAGTACTCATCACAGTCCTCCATACACCAGTAGCATTTTAGTCATGCTGGCCACATGACCCAGAAAGCTGTCTGTGGACAAACGCCAGCTCCCTTGGCCTGAAAAGTGTGATGACCGCTGCAACCCCATAGTTGCCTTTGACTGGATTTAACCGTTATCCCAGCTCAATCACTGCAGGAGCATTGTTGGTTGTTCACTGAGTTGTTGAGGCTCGATTGACAATAATAAAATGAACCTGTAGAGCTACTGGCCCAGTACTGTGAAATATTCTTCCAACAGGGATTCAACAGGCACCTTCTGTGCCACCTTTTAAACACCTGCTGAAAACCTCTCTATTCCATCAGGCTTATGCAGGCAATTAAGCAATCATATTTCCACAATAGTTAGCCCATTTTTGACAGTAACCTTTTATAGTGTTTTTACTGCATGGCTTTATATGTACAATTGTTGTAAACCATTCTGATATTCTTTAGGAATAACGGTATATAAATAGATTTATTCACTGAAAATACATGCACAGTTTTGAAATCAGAAGGCTATTTTAAGTGTATTCAAGAACATGTAAAATAGTGTTAGCTGCTGCCTATGTCTGAGCCTTCCTACCAATCCTCTGCCAGTCTCAATTCAGAGAAGGGTGATATTCAGTTGTTATTCCCTCACAAGCTAATACCATGGCTAAGAAGAGATTTGCAGGCTCTCACACACTCTCCCGCAAATGTTCTCATTCCTGGAAGAGGTGAACAACTGAAATATGAGAGTCCATGTTTTCCTACTTATTTATTTAAAGTATTTCTTATTCATCATTCATCACAAGGTCCCACACAACCAATGAGATACTGAAAGGGGTGAGGGAATCTCACCCAAAAGCTCCAGTGTAAACTGCAGAAAAGGGGGATATTTAAACTCATTCCAGGGGAATGTGTCTCAGATAATATGTTGTTTAGTGATCACAAGGTGAAACCACAATCTGTTATGCCAAAAAGACAAGCATTAAGTCCCACAACATGTAACAAAAGATGGCAATTAGTTAGAAGACTTACGAATCCACGTGGAGAACCCGCTGGCCACTTCTTGAACATGCGGCTGCTATGATAGATTCAGGCAAACCTGTAAGGGAGGGAGAAATGGGCACCACTGTTATACCAGACCAGCTGAGAGCTGCCCCTTCTGGCACATCCTCCCTACATTCAGAGGAAGGAATCGTGAAGCTTTTAATGGGTTTTTCCCCCTAATATTTTAAAGTTCTCTTTTCCATTCCTGTTTACCTCTTCTCCCCCACCTTTAGGCACACATTCCAGCCAGGCAGAAGCACTCAAGAAGACCACAGAGCAGGAGTGGTGAAGGGTGCTGCAAGGGGAAGCTCAGTCCCAAGGGCTATATAAAGCAGTCCAGAGGGCTGCATTTGGTCCCAGGGCTCAAGGTTCCTCACCCTTGTTCTATGTGCACATAACAGGGTTGCTTTTGCTTCTGCACTGTAATGGAAAGCGACACCAAAGCTGTCTATCACGTAAGACCATAAAGAAGACCAAGCCGAAGCCTTGTAGATGAGCTTTACGCAAGTTCAGCAAAATGACTTCATAACAAGATCAGAAATCGGTATGAAACCAGGAAGCATTCTAATCTATTTCATATCTTCAGGTGCCCTTAAGGTAGAAATTCAGACTTTCAGCAACTTTTTAGTCATTTTTAAGGCCTACCTTTTTGACAGATAGTGGAAGATTTAATCTCAGCTGGCAAAAGGGAGGGGGGGAGTTATGAAGGTTCAATGCAAGTTCCCAACATCAATGGCTGTTTTGTTGTGATGGAACACCGTTTTAACACTTGGGTTTTACCCCAGGGTGGGGAGGAGAAAAAGGATTGCTATACTAGGAATAGATGAAAGTTTATTTTGCCTAGTAGACAATTCTGGAGGCATTGGGAGTTTCACACCACAAGCCAGGATCCTTTTTCCTTTAGCAGTGTTTCAAACTTACACAAGTGTCCCCAGTTCTATGAACCAATTAGCATATTGATTTCCATTGAAGAAACACTATTTGGGCAAAGCTTCCAGCTACTTTCGTTGACACATTGCCGGTATCTCGGAATGGTGCATTGCAACAGACAACGCCTGTAGTTTATGCTTGTTTGGCTACGCGAGCTTTTCAAATACCTTTAAATCTTAAAGCAATGCATACCAAGATTTCAAAATCACCATCTGTAATCAAGTAACAACCACCCTCCCTATGAGCTATTTTACTGGTTTAATATAAAAGGCTTTTTGCTGTCAGATTTGAAAGTAATATTAATAAAATGGCAGCAGTTTATAATCTAGGAAATGAATGCTGGATGCAACTGTAAAGGAAAAGGAGGCAAAATTACCCTTTTCCAATTTGGGATGGGGCAACCTTCCAACTAAATTTGAGTTCGTCTAAAGAGCTTTGACTTAAAACATTACCAAGAAGCATTTTAAATATTTAGCGATGAGCCTGGAAGTTGCAGATTCAAAGTCTGATCGAGAAGAGGTAGTCATAATATCACTGGTATATTGTTTAAACAACTGATAATTCAGGCCTCAGATTTGTCTTATACATCACTCCATTGCTGTCCTAACCAAAGGCAGCCAACACTGTATGACTCAAACATATGATCATGGTACTGAAAACAAAGTTTATTAAATGCCCGTATGCTGGTGCAGCAAGCTGCTCACCATGGACACGGCCTCTAGATGAACAGGAAAGGATTAATAATAATAATAATATTTTTTATTTATACCCCGCCCTCTCCAGCCAAGGCTGGGCTCAGAGAGGCTTACAAGCAATAATAAAAACAAGTTGAATGATTACAACTTAAAAAGAAAATTAAAATACAACATTAAAATATTGAAACATTAAAATATTAAAATGTAGCCTCATCGCAGGAGAAGAAGGAAAGGAAAAAAGAAAGAGAGGGAGGGAATCAAATTGGCTCCAAGCCAAAGGCCAGGTGGACCAACTCTGTCTTACAGGCCCTGCAGAAAGAAATCAGATCCTGTAGGGCCCTGGTCTCATGAGGCAGAGCGTTCCACCAGGCCGGAGCAAGAGTTGAAAAGGCCCTGGCTCTGGTTGAAGCCAATCTAACTTCCTTGGGGCCCGGGACCACTAGGGTGTTGCTATTTATGGACCTTGAGGCTCTCCGTGAGGCATACCGGGAGAGGCAGTCCCGTAGGTACGAGGGTCCTAGGCCGTGAAGGGCTTTAAAGGTCAAAAGCAGCACCTTAAATCTGTACTCCACCGGGAGCCAGTGCAGTTTGAAAAGCACTGGGTGAATATGCTCCCATGGCAGAGACCCCATGAGGAGCCTCGCTGCAGCATTCTCCACCCTCTGGAGTTTCTGGGTCAGCTTCAAGGGCAGCCCCGCATAGAGCAAATTACAGTAGTCAAGCCTGGAGATGACCGTTGCATGGATCACTATGGCCAGGTCAGGGCGGGAAAGGTAAGGGACCAACTGCTTGATGCGGCAAAGGTGGAAAAATGTCGCCTTGGCTGTTGCTGTAACTTGCGCCTCCATGGAAAGGGAGGCGTCAAGGATTACACCCAAACTCTTAACGGAAGGCAATGGCACTAACTGGGCCCCCGCAAGAGATGGGAGTTGGTCCCTCATCCCCATACCACCCCAACCCAGCCATAGGACCTCTGTCTTTGAAGGATTTAGTCTCAATCGGCTCCCACGAAACCATCCAGCCACAGCTTCCAAGCATCTGGTCAGTGTGTTCGGGGCCGAGTTGGTAAACAAAGTTAAGCAAACAGTGAATGTGGAAAAGGGGCAAAGGGTGCTTTTCCACATAGTGAGTGGGCAAGAAGATGCTATGACTTTACTTAGCATGCCAGGTTCTCAACATGCTGGGGCATGTCACCAGTGGTGGAAGCCCCAAAGGTGCTGAGTCCAGACACTCACAGTGAGCCTGCCAGTCAGGAGCATCTTAAGCCAGAGACACATAAACTGGGATTCCCGGAAGAACCAGCTCCTTTTACACCATAGGCCCCATGCACCCCAGTGCCTGCTTGCCAGAACAGACAATACAATGCAGGAGCTGACTGAGAGGCAACTGAGTGCTAGGCTGGAGGATTGCTCATCAGGAAGTGGGTGGAGCCTCAGAGGAGCATAGAAGGTCTGCTTGGAGCTATCCAAGGTACTGCAACTCCAACCTGACCAAAAAACCCAAAAAGCACCTGTTGTGGTCAGGGGTCACACTGACACCATACATCATCATCATCATCATCATCATTACTACTACTACTACAATTTATTACCCACCCTTCACCAGAAGATCTCAGGGCAGGTTGCTACAATTAAAACACAGCATTAATATTAAAGCATAATATAACACTGTATGAACAAAAATAAGGTAGGTCCAAAAAATACACATCTCAAGTGTCAAAAGCCAGGGTGAACTGGTATGTCTTCAGCATTCACTGAAAGCTGTATAATGAAAGAGACAGATGCACCTGTGTGGGGAAGAAGTTCCCCAGCTTAGGGGCTGCCACATAGAAGGCCCTTTCCCAGGTGAGGGCAGAGAAACTACCCTCTGCAAATCTTGGTGCCCAAGAGGATCTGTAGGGAAGAAGATGCTCTTTCAAGTATTTGAGACTTTAGTCATTTAGGGCTTTACACACCAATGTGAGCACTAATTAACAACCAGTTAAAGCTCTGTTACACCATGACTTCCCCAGAAAACTGTAGTTTGTTAAGTATGCTGAGAGTTGTTAGGGGGTCCTCATAAAGCTACAATTCCCAACACTCTTAACAAACTGCAGTTCCTAAGACCTCAGCCCTTTTCCACCTGAGTACTCCTTGTCTTGTCACCCTAGCAATGTGGGGGCCACTGCACTAAACACTCTTCCTGACCCACAGAGCTGTAATGGGGTGCCCCCGTGCCAGGTTCAGTGCACACCAGGGCTGCCTCAGGGCATCAGATGTTATTTTCACAGCCCAGAAGGCATTAATCTGCAGCATCTCCCACACTACAAAAGGTAGATTGAGAAAGGGATCCTGCAAACGGGTAGTATGCCAAACAGAAAACTGGTTTACACAATGGACCCCCCTTCCCCCAAAAAAGAAAACACTGACTGTGGCTCTGCAAGTGAGATATTCCTGCTAACTTTAGAGAACTGACTCCTTTGCTGCTCTAATATGATTTGGTTCAGTAGAATCCTAGTTCAGTAGAGTTGGCAGGGGTTACTATGGTCATCTAGTCCAACCCCCTACAATGCAGGAATCTTTTGCCCAACGTGGGGCTCAAAATTCAACAGAGCACCTGGGATTGCACCTTTTTCCTTATAAATTCCTGCCCACAGCCATCCCTGGGTGGGCTCAAACCACCAATCTTAACAGCCAAGCACACTGAACCACTGCGCCACAGAAACATTTCCATTATTCTGTAACACAGGGTTGGCAAAACTGTGGCCCTCCAGATGTTGTTGGAATGCAACTCATATCCCCCCATATCATTGGTGCTGCTGGAGGGGGTTGAAGGGAGCTGGAACCTAGCAACATCTGAAGGGCCACAGCTTCCCCAACGCTTTTTTATAAAATCTTCATGGTGAGCCCTACAACAAAGTGGCAAATCTTTTTCAGGCCTCCAGGATTAATGTGCCTCAATTCTAGCTCAGGGATGGGGAAGTTGTGGCTCTCCAGATGTTGCTGGACTCCCATCAGCCCCAGTCAGGATGGCCAGTGGCTAGGGCTGATGGGAGTTGTATTCCAGCAACAAATGAAGAGCCACAGATTTCCTCACCCCTGCCAACCATCTCCATGGAATTTTAGCTAACCTTGCATCACAAGCAAGCAGAGCTACAACTTAAGCCAATAACCTACTTCAGAAGCTTACAAATCTGTATGGCATTGAATAAAATAGCTGTATGGCAATATGAAAAACAAGTTCACACCATCTAGTTTTGAGAGTTCCCCACCCCCCACCCTGTGCCAGATGCTTAAATATTTGCTTGCATAAAATGAAGCCCACTTGCTTACAAAAAACTGAACTATGAAAACATTACAGCAGGAAATGCATTATGATGAAACTGAGGAAGATCATGCACCCAAATATTCAGTAGTAATCAAAACATTTAAGGTTGTGTATGTGTGACATAAAGTGTGTGTGAGAGTGTGTGTGTGTTTTGCACGGAGCTAAAACCGGCGCCCCCAATGTTTCACTTTGTACCTCATCTTTTGGTTAGTTTGCCACAATAGATTTTTAAAACTGTATTAGTATCTGGAATTGATTTTTCTTAACACTATACTTACATAAGATAAACATAAAATAAAGTACTACCACCACTCCCGGCATATCGAACAATAAATAATAGATTCCCCTGACAGGACTTTGATGACTGGGCAAAGCCCAAATGCTTTCAGCCAAAATCATATGGAGCCATAAATCACTCTTTATTTTATAGAATATTTCAAAATGGATCCCTGCTTTCTACCTTGAAAGTCATTTCATGTGTTATTTATAACTAGAGAAGACTAGAAAAAGAAAAGAGGGGGGAAATGCATGGAACCAGGAAATTTACAGTGACTCTTTTTTTTTTTTTTAAAGAATAACTTCTTTTTCAGAGACAGAAAAAGAGGGGGGAATAGATTGACTCCGGCACAAGGAAAGAGAACCCAAACTCTTTTCAGAAGGGAATGTGTTTTATCTGATAACTTAACAGATTTGCAGTTTAGTTTTACTGGTTATAATGCTAGGACTCTTGTCCTCATTTCAAGCTGTGGTTCCTGTGCTGGAGAAGACGGTCAGATCAGGGTGAAGGGTAGGCGTAACCATGGACAACTGGGGATGGACCCAGAGGAACAGAGCTGGTCATATCATAGTCACATAATATTAAGAAGGCATCAAGGGAGGAGGGCTCTGGGGAGGGATACAGTGGGATGCCTTCTCCACGCCCCGTTCTGTCTCCCTGTCATCTACCTCGGTGCTTCGCACTCATCTTGTCAGCGGCTTCAAAGCCAACTTCAACTCCGAATCTGGCTTTACCTCCAGAACTACGAGGGCCTGCCCCCAGCTTACTTTCCCAAGAGGAGCCTGCTGCCACATCTGCTCCAGAAGTGTTGCTAATGCCTCTTCTGTCGTCTAGATTGTGGAGAAGCCAGAGTAGGCATGACCAGACAATGCAGGCTCAGCCTTCTCCAAGGAGTGTTTGTTTGCTTGCCCAGTCCAAGGAACAGCCTGATTTGCAGCACCAAGTTGTGCCTGCCCCATTCCTATATAATGGAATTGCATGGGGCATGTCACTTACTGGATCAACATCTTAGCTTAACTGGCTTTGCATGGAACCTACTGTGTCTTCTAACTCTTGCTTCTTCTTTTTACTATGTACCAATTTCAGCAAATAGGAATTTATATACAGTATTCATACCTACAATCTGAGTTCAAGTTCTTCATTCAGTGAGAACCAAGACACAAGTGTTCCTCTTACACTACTTAAATTTCAGCAGTAACACAACAACAAATGCCATCACACATGCTGCCATTCTCTCACCCTTTCTGCATATTACCTCATGATTCACCATATGGTATGGTGAATACTACCCAAAATTTCATGAGGGGGTTGTGTGATTTATTAATACCACAAGAAACAAACAATGCTAAAACCAAACAGGGAAAATACAGAATGAAGACAGGTCTTGCATTTTCAACCTACAGCCCTAGAGTTTAAAAGTTTTTCACTCTCAGAATCCAAACTTAGCTCCCCAATGAGTCCCATCAAACTCTACTTAAAAGGCTGCATTTAGGAATTATCTATTTATGTCCCAAAGTCAACTAGTGTTGTGAGCTAGAACAGGAATGGGGAACCTCAAGTCTTAAGGTCCCAGTGCTGCCCCAGGCCACACACACACTGAGCCACTACCTTCACGAGCCCTGGCTTGCACTCTCCTTGATTTTTTCTGCCTGGCTACAATGCATCCTTGGATCAGAGGAGGGATATGTGAATTTGTAGAAACTAACCTTCTGTACATAGGGAAATTCGCATTCACTGTTTTGCCCATTTTTGCCTCTGGGTCTGCCTACCCCCAGCACACAGCTCCTAAAAGGGAATGTGGCTCTCAGACTGAGAAAAAAGTTCCCTCTTCCTGAGCTACAATATCTGACAGTAGCATTCAATAGTGAAAAACACAAACACTTTCAGAAGCATGCAGCTGGAGCTAATCAGCCCACTGATCACAATATTACCTTGTATTTAAGCCATAGGCGACAAGGAACTGAGTGAAGGCAACTGTATGAAATTCCATATATAAGAGTGAAAGGGCTGGGAGGGAAGGGGCAGAACACTACCTCCCTCCTCTGCAACAAACAAGAAACACAGAGGGCAGCCAGGGGGCAGAATTCTCCATCCATCCTCTGCCAGTCCCCAGCAAACTAGTGTATACATACAGTGGTACCTTGGTTTATGAACTTAATCAGTTCCGGAAGTCTGTTCTTAAACCAAAGAGTTCTTAAACCAAGGTGTGCTTTCCCATAGCAGCGGAGGGATTCAATTTACAAATGGAACACACACGACAAGAAGCAGAACATATTCTTATTCCAAGGCACAGTTCACAAACCAAAACACCTACTTCCGGGTTTGCAGCGTTCTTAATCCAAGTTGTTCATAAACTAAGCTGTCCTTAAACCAAGGTACCACTGTATTTCACAGGCTAGTTACTTCTGGCAGCTTATTCACAAGTCCGTACTAATACAAGCATCCTTATTTAAACTAGAGTAACAAACACTTTGGTGGTACCAATGTACCAACAAGGTAAAGAGGGCCACATTTCCTAGCAGGCATCCTTCTGGGGGCCACATGTCAGTGCTGAGTGAGGCAACATATCTGACTCTTATCTTTACACTATAGGCTACATTCCAACTACATAAAAGTCAGAGGCTTCTACATGTACATCTCTCCATATGTAAAGGAGGCATTCCCTGGGGAGAGTTCTGAGGGTCAGAGAGAAAGGCTTGGAGGTGCCAGACGAAGGCTTCTCATTGGCACTGTTTACTTTCTGCCAAGAGCCGAGGACTGGGTAGGAGGCAAAGCTCAACTGTGATGCTGCTATTAGTAAACAAAGTCCTAAACGACTTGGGGTTATATTTAATGTTCATCATACTCAGAGCAGACACACTGAAATTTATGAACAGGACTAACTTTGGTCCATTAATTTCAATGGGTTCACTCCAAGTAGAACTTAACTGGATACAACCAGTGCAGCTGAAGCACCTGAGAAAGCGCTGGTCTAATGCCAATGTTTTGTCCCAGAGATGTGGCCCTCCAGATGTTGTTGGACTACAACTCCCATTATACTTGACCACTGGTCACAGAGGAACGTTTGGAAGGCTGCATTCACTTCCCTAGGCTAAAGTTCTCCACTGCTGACCCAGGCAAATGGTGGGCTCTCCCCCACAGAAATATTCGGGGAAAGCTAGAGCATCCCCAAATAACAGCTGTCTAACTTCTGGATTTCCTGTACCGAGCAGGGAGCTGGACTAGACGGCATGCAAGATCTCTTCTGTGTCATTTATCTCCCAACTTCAGGCCCAAATTCATAAAATGGGAAGCATTATGACCAACATACCTACCAACCACACAGGACTATTTGGAAGGTGAGGAAAAGTCTGCTGTGGAACATTATTTTTAATACATTCAGCATACAGCAGTTATTTGATATACACAGAGCACAAGTATTAACAGAACGTCTCCATCCAAACGCACACACACACACAAAATTCAATTCATTATGGCATTAGCTTTCATGGACTGAATATTGTTGTTGCTACTCATTAATCACCTTCCACATTATGAGGCACAAAAATATAATAAAAACAGCACCAAAAATAACAGAAGATTAAAAAAAAAGAAACAATACAAAGTGGACACCTATAGCAGATACCTATTCATCCAGCTGAGAAAGCTTGTCAGAGCAAAAATGTCTTTAATTGTTTCCAGAAAGTGTAGATGGGAGACACCTGTCATATCTCAACAGGAATGTCATGCCACAGAACAGGGCAACCACAGTGAAAGCCCTGCTCCATGTTACTGTGGAGTGGGCTTCCAATATCTTTGAAACTTGAAGGAGAAGCTCTCCTGAAGACTGCAGTGGCTTACCGGGTACATAAGGGACAATGCATTCTCTCAAGATCCAACAGAGAATCTTAAATGAATAAGAAGCCAGGGTGAGAGGAAGGAGATTGTTAGGGTCTGATGCACAAGCAGCTATGATACAGAAGAAAAAAACATATGGGGGAGGAGGCCAGGGGAGAAGTGAACACTAGGTGAACCTATATCCTTCATATACAACCTCTGGCCATGGTCAGCAAGAGTTAACTGGGATTCATAGAAGCATAAAATTGTTGAGTTGGAAGGCATCAAGAGGGCAATCTAGTCCAACCCCCTGCAATGCAGAAATCTTTTTGCCCAATATGGGGCTCAGATCTACAAACCTGAGATTAAGAGTCTCATGTACTACTGGGATTGCCAATTTTACTTCTGGCATGACTCCTATGCAATGTCACAACAATCAGAATTTCAGCTGGTAAAGACTTTTCCATCACTTCATCTGCAGGCTAGGAAAAAGCTTCACCTGCTTTTGCTCATAACAAGACTTGGAGGCCCTGCAGAAAGGGAGGTGGACAACACTAGCTCAAAACCTTGCTTGTCTGTAGAATGTGTGGGTACATGGAAGCAAGCAGCTTGTTTTCAGCTTCAGTTTCTTCTTTGTAAAGACAACCACAAAAACCCAGATGGTTGGTGGAGGTACCCTGGGTGAGAGGCAGGGAAGCAAAGAACTCCCAGGGTGAGAGACTGGGAGAAGAAGAAAAAGCTCCAAGTGAGAGCTGGGAGGCTACACCACCTTCTGTGTGAGACAAAGGTTAAGCGTTGCTTTTGAGGGAAGACTCTGCATTTTCTTTTCTCTGTCTAGGTTTTTATTTAGATTGGTTTCTTTTTGCCTTATTGCATCATGAAAAGGTTTTTTAAAACCCTATTTAGAAACACACGGACACACAACCACCACAACCAAACCTCAAAAACAATTAACCACCTTGTGAAAGTGAACACAAGGACTTCATTGCACAACTCATAAGGTGGTGTGCAAATTATTATTTTTACTAATAATAATTATACTGTATTCAGCATAGGAATTATACCAAGTAAGAGCTGTTTGACAATGGCTGTCTTTTGCTGGAGGTGTTTAAGCAGAGGCTGGCTGGCCATCTGTAAGAGATGCTGTAGTTAAATGCCTGCATCAAGCAGGGGTTGGACTAGAGACCTCCAAGGTCCCTTCCAATGCCATGATTCTATGACGTAGCCTTAACAACACAGTAACTATGGTTTAATTGTGAGAGTGACTCCCTGTGCGGCTCTACGACTGCATTTTTATGTTGTGAACTGCCCTGAGATCTGCGAATGAAGGGTGGTATTTAATAAAATTTATTCATTAAACAAGTTTAATAATTTCACAAACAAGCCAATACTATGGCTTGCCATGTCACCTGAACGCTGACCACAAGCCAAAAACAAACCAAGGTTTATTCTCAGATACTCCTATCTGATTGTTACTTTGGGATGAAGGGTGGGGCATAAATTGGATAAGTAACAATAATGATATCAAACAGGCAGGAAAGTTGAAGTATTTGAGAAGCCCTATATTTAATGAACTGAAAGGGGCTTTCCCTGAATCTACCAAAGCCGATTACATGAACAGTAGAGCAGACCCCCTCGCGAGGTGGTGGACTCTCCTTGGAGGTTTTCAAGCAGAGTTTGGATGGTCATGGAGGCTTTACAGTATTTCAGATTCATGCGCTGCAGAGGGTTGGACTGGATGACCCTCAGAGTTCCTTCCAACTGTAAAATCCTGTGAACAGGCATTTCTTAAAACAGGTTACTCTGTTTTTAGGAAGATGGGGCTGCAATCCTAACCCCACTTACCTTGGAGCGAGCCTCCACTAGTTGCCCTTACTTCTGAATAGGCTGCACCATTGGGAAAGGGACGTAAGGTAGGGAAAAGGCAAGGGGCAACGGAGGGCAGGTAAAATGGGGCCGGGGTCTCCCCTGTGCCCCTCATTCCTGCTGCCCCAAAGCCCATCTCTCCTCCATACTCACTCCAGCTTCTCACTTCCCAAAGACCGGCCACCCGCCAGCCACGTCTGATTCCCACGTTACATATACACGCGCGCAACCCTACCCACCCCGCCCTTACCCGTTCCTATGACCACCACATCAAACTCCGAGGGCAGGTTATCCGCCATCTTGGGAGGGGGAAAGCGGCCGCTGTCATACGGCAACGCCCCGCCCCTCCGCCCCGCTTGCGTGTCAGCTCCTGGCGGAAGTGAAGCTGCGAGTTAGCTTCGGTCACCGGACGCTACGGAGCGGAGGTTGTTGGCGGTGGGGGGGGTGGCGATGCATTGTGGGTGATGTAGTCGTCCGCCTAGGCCTCACGAAACACCGTTTTACCTGGTAAAAAAAACCTCTCTCCCAGGTAAAGGGAGGAAGAGAGGCGGGAACTATTATTTATTAAATGTAAATGTTCACCTGAAGAGCACAGGGAGCTTTACAGTATAAAAACAACACCATACTAAGGTAACGAAACAAAAAAACAAACCAATAACACCCCCCTATGAAATGTCATGAATTAATGTGGCGCCAGATACTCTGGCCTCCAAATCCCATCAGCCGCAGCCGGGATGGTCAATGGGCAGGGATGATGGGAGTTGTAGTCCAGCAACGTCTGGCGGGAACTTTTTTTGCATACAGTACTTACCTATATAAATAACTATCAGTTCGCAGCCCGTGAAAAAAGCGTGAAAACTGAACCTGTTTTCGGTTAATGTAAACTAAAACTATGTAAACTAAAACTATGCTGTTCAACGTCAATTTGCTTGGATTAAATTTTGCTTTGCTTTTTAAAAAATGTTTTATCTTAGAGCCATCAGAACCACACAACTTTTGTTGACGCTCCTTACCTGCAATGGCATAGGGGAAAATAATATTGCCAGAAGCAAAGTTCCTTCCTTTCTTTGCCTTCTCCATACATGCATACGTAGACGAAAGAAGTTAATGCCTATTCAAATCATGGGCTGTTTTATCACCCATCACTGCTGTTTCAAAGGGTTGCCAAGTGTATGTCTCATGTGCATTTCAGTTCTTAACTGAATTTAGGGGGAAGCGGGGCAGATTGATACAGAAAAATTCAATCTCATATTTTATGTAACAAACATGAGTCAAATAATTAAAAAAATTGGCTTGATACATGACATAACTAATCAATATTATAATAGCAATCAAAAGAACCATTAAAGTTAGAAGATAATGAGAATACAGTATAATGACTTCAGTAAAAAATGGGTTTTGTATCATTCTGCCCCACCTATGGGGCACTTTGATGCATTGGAGGGAGACTTTGATACAAAGTGTAAATTGTATGAGAATGGTAGTTATTTGCAAAAAAATTAATGAAAAACAATTTTTATTGTGAGAGATCATAATCAACCTTACAATTTGCTACTTAAAATCTAAATTATGTATCAAAACTAACAGTGTTTCACATATATCAAAGACTTTATGGCAGGTTTTCTTAACAAAACATCAAAATTTATATTAATCTTTCCTCAAACACCTATCCATTTTTTTTAAAAAAAACACTTTGGAAAAACTTAAAAAAAATAAAAATTCACATTAGGTAGTCAAAAAATTGTAATTTAAACAAAAAGCTTATAAAAAAAGAAGATAATTACTTGACGTTTAGCTTCTATTGCACATTATATCCACTTAAGTCAATAGAAAAAGTATAAAAAGATGATGTTCAGGATGTGCCCTTTGGGAAATTTGGTTTTGGCAAAGGCAAAACAACATCCTTGAAATCATCACTTGCCTTATCTTCTACAGTGGGGAAGACAAACATACAAGATCCTGGGTTTTTCCAGAGATGGACTTTGGCCACGTAGTAAACAACAGTTTTTTTTCTTTTCAAATTTAATGAGTTGAGAGATTTCATACAAACTTGTATATCAGGGCACTGTTGTACACTAGCAGGGCACTTTTATATGTATCAATGTCTTGGTGTATCAAAGTGCCCCAACAGGCATTTTCAAAAAAACTAACAATTATTACTAAAACCACTGAACATTTAAAAATCATGTGTAATCCTGATTACCTGTACTGAGTGAAACAACTTACCTTTGGTATTTTTAAATCTTAACTAAACGACGTAAAACACTGTTGGAACACTTTTACATTTCATGTAATTTTTTAATTGGCTGTGCTAAAAACACACCTACTCTCATCAAACACCAACAGCTAACTGGCGGGCGGTGCAGTCGCAACTGTTGTACTCACACCTGTATAGACACGTTTTAGTGCTGTCACGACACAAATAACATTTCTCGATATTGAAATATTGTCAGTGTATCAACGTGCCTCATGCATCAATGTGCCCCACTTCCCCCTACTGATTTTATTAATTTGTTTCATAAAATGTATACACTGCTTGATTATTATTATTTTTTAAAAAAATCAACATCAAAGCAGTTTTCAAGAAGATAAAACAAGAATTCAAGAAAATCATGCAAAAGTAAAAATACCAAAAAGATTAAAATTACTTCAGCTTCCTGAGCATTTAGGTAGGCTTGTGGAATAAAAACATTTTAAGCAGGCACTGAAAAGAGTACAGTGAAGAAACCCGCTTGATATCAATAGGCAGGGAGTTCCAAAGTGTAGGTGCTGCCACACTAAACAACTGAGTTCTTACAAATTGCCATTATCAGAACTTTTCTGCAGTTCATTATTGTCTGACTTCACTAGCTCCCTCCCCCCACTCCACCCTTACAACCCGTCTATTGTCATTATTATTAAGGTTATTAGTTGCTTCTTTTTTACAAAAACAATTCACAGTGACTTGTAAAGGTAAATAAATAACATACATTAAAACCAGCTTAAAGCGAAACAAATAAAAATCTAAAACATTCATATTTTTAAAAAACCAAGATCAAAGCATCTGAAGGAGGCCACAGATAATTAAAAGCTAATATCCGGGGGGGGGGGAGTTTTTGCTGGGTGCCTAAAGATATACAGTGGTACCTCTACTTTTGTTCACCTCTGGTTACGTATCCTTCGGGATACGCACACGGCAAACCCGGAAGTATTTTTCTGGGTTTTGCTGTGCACGCATACACAAAAGTGGTGTACCGCCAAGTGCACATGCACTGAAGCAGTCCCTCTGGTTGCGGAAACCTCGGGATGCAACCAGAGCTCCGGAACGGATCCCATCCGCAACCAGAGATACCACTATATAATGATGGCGCCAGGCGAGCTTCCCAGTGGAGAGCATAGGGATGCCTAGAAAGTTGAAGTAATTTTAATCTGTCTTAATATTTTAACTTTTGTATGTTTTAAAGTATGGTTGTGAATTTTTCCTGACTGTATTGTTTTATCTTTCCGCAGGGCCTGTAAGACAGAGTTGTTCCGCCTGGCCTTTGGCTTGGAGCCAATTTGATTCCCTCCCTCCCTCTCTTTCTTTTTTCTTTTCCTTCTCCTCCTGCGATGAGGCTACATTTTAATATTTTAATGTTCCATTATTTTAATGTTGTATTTTATTTTTGTTTTTAAGTTGTAATCATTCATCTTGTTTTTATTATTGCTTATAAGCCGCTCTGAGCCCGGCCTTGGCTGGGGAGGGCGGGGTATAAATAAAAAATTATTATTATTATTATTATTATTATTATTATTATCTTTCATAAACGGCTTTAAGGGTTTTTTTATTAAAAAATAATAATTGAGCTCTGTATAATTTTTTATACATAAGTAAATAAATAAATAAATTCCACAGGTGGAGAAATATTCTACTGTGTATGCCAAGATATATGCACAGATGCAGGTTTTAAACATTCTACAGTGGTGCCCCGCAAGACGAATGCCTCGCAAGACGAAAAACTCGCTAGACGAAAGAGTTTTCCGTTTTTTGAGTCATTCCGCAAGACGAATTTCCCTATGGGCTTGCTTCGCAAGACGAAACGTCTTGCGAGTTCTTGCGAGTTTGTTTCCTTTTTCTTAAAGTTGCTAAGCCGTTAATAGCCGCTAAGCCGCTAAGCCGTTAATAGCCGCTAAGCCGCTAATAGCCGCTAAGCCGCTAATAGCCGTGCTTCGCAAGACGAAAAAACCGCAAGACGAAGAGACTCGCGGAACGGATTAATTTCGTCTTGCGAGGCACCACTGTATGTTCCAATTACTATAATTGAAAGAGATACATCTCACAAAAAGGTACGCAGATACCCTATGCACCTTCTTCTGCTGCTGCTTGCGTGCTTAATGAATATAGATGGTCAACTTTAAGGCCTCTGAAGCTCTCCTTTTTTAGTGTTCTTTATCTTTACACTGAACAATAGACTAGACACGCCTTCAAGCAAAAGACTCCTTCAAATAGATAAGGCATGTCCCTCAGGTCGATCGCCTGGGTTCTCCAGGTCGATTGCAGGAGTTAAAAAAGAGATCGCCAGGTTGCTCCTGAATGATTGTGATGCGCTATGTCCTATCAGTGTGGACATAGCCAGAGCCAGTGTGGTGTGGTGGTTAAGAGCGATAGACTCGTAATCTGGTGAACCGGGTTGTCGTCTCCGCTCCTCCACTTGCAGCTGGTGGGTGACCTTGGGCTAGTCACACTTCTTTGAAGTCTCTCAGCCTCACTCACCTCACAGAGTGTTTATTGTGGGGAAGGAAGGGAAAGGAGAATGTTAGCCGCTTTGAGACTCCTGCGGGTAGTGATAAAGCGGGATATCAAATCCAAACTCTTCTTCTATCGGTGCCATTGGTGTTGCTGTTAAAGGTTTTATTCCCTTTGTCTGTGGCAGAGTTGGGGGGAAGAAGAAATGGGTGTGGACTGTAGGGTGAGCGATCTAGAAAAAAACCTAAACAACTCTGGCTTCCCTCCCTAAAAAAAGCTCAATGACTTTGGGCAATGACAATGGGTAGATCACTGCCAGTTTTATTATACTGGGAGTAGATCACAGTCTCTAAAGAGTTGGACATGGCTGAAATAGAGGACTATCCTCTGCAAAGTAGGACCCATCATGACCCTGCTAGGGAGTATGCATGGGATTCCAGTCTTACGCTCCTGACCCCTGTGCTACATCGGCTTTTCTTTACCATTGCATAATGTAATGGCATTCAGAATAGCTAAGCTACAGCGCAGCGGTAGAAAAAACATGTGCTTTCCATGCAAAAGCTTCCAGGTTTGATCCTTAGTGTCTCCTGGTAGGGCTAGGAAACATCCCCTATCCAAGACCCTGGAGAACTGCTGCCAGTTAGTGCCAACAATAGTGCCAATTAGTGCCAATTAATAGCTGCTGGGAGTCACAAGCAGGGAAAGTGCCATTTGACTCAGATCACGCTTGAGGGTTTTTTGCATTGGTGGCAAGCTGTGAGAACAGGATGCTGGGTTAGGTGGACCTTTGGCCTGATCCAGCAGGACTCTTATTGCATTCCAGTAGATGGTGTGACTAAGTCTAAGGCACCTTTCTATGTTTTCCTATGGGAATCTCAGATCAAAAATGATCCCTGTTTAATCATCTCATGCTGTCCATGTTCTTCAGTCTTCACGGTCAGGAAAGTTTTCCTGACTGAAGGCCTGCCTTGCTTGCCAGTAGCAGGATGTTGTGCTAGCTGCGGCTTAGCAGGCCTGGGCCTCCGAAATGTGTGTGAGGAAATACTCAAGTCTTAACACCCGACATCATAAGGGGTAATAACCTGACTGGCAGCCCATTAACGCCTTGTTATAAGCCCCTTGCTTATTCACAAGAGAACACAAAACCACTAATGGAAACCAGAGAGCACTTCAGCCTTAGGAATCTGTTAGGCACAGTTCGTCTAATGCACAGTCCTGTTGTCAGGCTGGCTAGAAACCTCAGAGACAGAAAAAAACAAGGGGATTTCCATCTTGATAATAAGAATAATGTAGAAAAGGGTAACCAACCAAAATGACCAGAGGGCTGGAGCTCAGTTAGCAGCATATTATTTAATTAATAAATTCTCTGACACAACACCACTTAAGAAAGGGAATTAGACAAATAAGATTGTGCAATTGAACTTTATAGTTGTCAGTGGATTAGAAGCCTATTTTGGCATCAGGGATGTATTATATATACACACACCAAAAAAAAAATACACACACACATAGTAATGATAATAAGAAATATAAGCAGCCTCTTTGTATCATCACCTATTGCAGAAGTAGGCAACCTCTTATCTGCCAAGGACAACATCAAAGGCAGATTTAGGGGAGCATGACTGGTTCAGCTGCAACTATGATGTAGAATGGAAGACGAGAGACTGGGGGGTACCGAATTTTGGCATTGCACAGGGCACCGCTAAATTTGAGGCCCCAAGGTCTGCCATGACAGCATTTGCAAGTGGAGGCAAGGGCATTACTTGGAACTAGAAGTGTCATGGATTTATCAATCTGGAATACAGATCAATGTGCTTCCTTTTTTACCCTGTTTAGAATCCCCACTCTCCTTGGAAGCAAGCACCACTGCTTTAACTCTCAAATAAGCGTACAGAGGATTATTTATCTATTTAAATTGCAACTAGCCAACCATTCTGGAGAATGAGCAAAATGAGTTTTATTCTAACTTTAGTTCACTATACCCATGCACATGTGCACACATGGCAGAAGTATACCAATTTGTCCTCAAACTGCTAGTAACTTTTTTTTTAACACCAGAGTAGTTTATTTATATAGAATTTAAATCCCTCTGTTTGCCATGAATGGTCTCGAGGCGGCTTTCAATGGTGCACCACAATAAAAACACAATAGCAAAACAGCAGTAAGGCCACAAAGGTAAAAATAACAAAGCCAGTCAATAAAACTGCCAATATCCATTAGAAGGATTTCAGTTGGTTAAAATGAGGGTTGAAAACCTGTGGCCCTCCAGATGTTGCCAAAGTACAGCTTCCCTCTCCCTAGCCATTGGTCATGTTGAGTGGAGTTGATGGGAGTAAAGAGTTCAGTAACAGCCCTGCCCTAAGCCTTGCTCTTTGGACTGAGCAGCAGAGGTCAATCTTTTCCAGGCCTCCACCACTGATATGTCTTGCCTCTTCCTCAGGGATGAGGAACCTGAGGCCCTCTAGATTTTGCTCGATTCCCATCCCTGAGCTAGAGACAAGACAAGCCAATGGCAGAGGCCTGAACAAGATTGGTCTCTTCGTTGCTCAGACTAAAGAGCAGGATTGATTAAGAAGCTTTTGTTGCAGGGGCATGGAAACCTCTGGCCCTCCAGGTGTTGTTCGACAACAACTCCCATCGACATCAGCCAATGAGCACGGATGATGAGAGTTGTAGTCCAGCAACATCTGGAGGGTGGTAGGGGAATATGAGAGTTGCAGTCCAGCCACTGAGCCACAAGAGGGAGGTATCAGCATCCCCATGGGAACCCCAAAGTTTGTTGCAATACAAATTACACACAACACACAATCCCAAAATCTGAGGGGGCAACCCTTGAAAGAGAAAAAGCCAAATGAGGGCCAATCATGCTCAATAACTACTGAATTTTGAATGGCAGTTGGGAAAGTGGGGTGGGGTGTGGACAGAATGTAGTACAGTGGTACCTCAGGTTAATTCATTCTGGAGGTCCGTTCTTAACCTGAAACTGTTCTAAACCTGAGCTACCACTTTAGCTAATGAGGCCTCCCGCTGCCACCACGTGATTTCTGTTCTCATCCTGAAGCAAAGTTCATAACCCGAGGTACTATTTCTGGGTTAGTGGAGTCTGTAACCTGAAGTGTATGTAACCTGAAGCGTCTGTAACCCGAGGTACCACTGTATCCTGCAACAGTGCATAGAGGGCTGGGCAGCAGCACGTCCTCTTTCATGGCAAAAAAAAATACACTGCAACATTTTGTTGCAGATCCCACCCCTTGTTACCTCTCTAGTAACCATAACCTTGAACGTTTCTAAGAGCAGACACAGTTATTATCTTATGTAGAACAACCAAACTGGAATGCTTGCAAACATCAAGATTTGTTGTGTGCATGCGTGCATGTTTTTAAAGTGAGAGCTATTTTATAACATATACAAAGGGAGAATTATTTTGCTGTCAGCATATCCTGGTTTCCAAAGTATCGGAGTATTTATCCTAGCGGAACATGCTATTGGCTGGCTGCTTCCCCGAGTTTCTGTTAAGTTCATTCATAAGATGGCAGTCGATGCAATTCTATTTCATGATGACAGTCATTAGTCACTGAACCAGAAACCTTTCTTAGTACCGGCTGAGTTAGCCAAATGTTTATCTAGGTTCCTTAACGGCAGGATTTGTTGATCTTCTACAGTGCAAAACTATTAGCTTGTAGTATCAGCATCAACTGGTGAAAATCTAATAGAAAGTGTGAAGCAGGGGGTGAGAGAGACACAATGTATGAATAATTTTTATGGGAATGTCATGGCCCTTTAGAAAAATGTCATACACTGTTCCACCCCCCCTTTGCTATTTAATT